ACACTAAATAGTACAACCGAACAAAGAACTGCCGAAGATCGACAATAAACTGAACAACTAAAATGGAAAAGAACTAAACAATGAGCATCAATGGTTCCAGTAACCAAGGAGCCACCAGTAACCGAAGCTCACAGATATCAACAGAACAAAATTAACACCAAGCACACATATACCAGTAACCCACCACTGCTTGTTAGTCACATAGCCCATGCCGAAGTATGCCGGGTTGGCCGCGGAGGTATAGGGAGTTAGATGCCCTGACCAAGTACATAGAGCAAGGGCGCGACAGGCAACCTCAGGCGGCACTCCAGCAGCTAGAGCTACTTGCAACAATGCGGGATAGAGAGCTGATACATGGGCTGTGATAGAAGCGAATACATACTGTGTCACATAGAAAATTAGACACACTACAACAAGGCATGCATATGGGGGAAGGGAGCTAAGGTCGATAAGATTAGCCAGCCACACCCAGAAACCCTTATTCTTCAACTCAGAGGCGAGCATGAGGAGCACCGAGAACCACAAGAGCAAGTTGAAGGCACCTTTGTCAGTGATGATATCCTTCTTGACGTCAATGATACCACACAAGAGAAGAACACCAACGCCCATAGCTGCAACACCAGTCGAAGTGAAGGGGAATACAGTCTTGACAATTGAAGATAAAATCCATAGCAATACCATACCGATGAAGACCACAAGCATCGTTATTTCTCTCGCTCCCATGGAACCCATTTCCTGCAACTTTTCTGTAGCCAGTTTGGGCGCCTCAGGGGTTTTCTTGATTTCAGGAGGATAGAGAAAGTACACCGTCAGTGGAACACAAGCCAACTGTATAATACCAGCGGGAGCTTGGGAATATGCCCAGCCTACCCACGATAGATTAACACCAACGTCGTTCATAAACTGCACCATCATAGCATTCCAAGCACCACCAGTAAGCCAGAAAGCAGCAGCAACAGCATCAGCACTGATCTCCACCAGAACGATGTAGGTTCCAACTCGGCCTTGCGTCCCTAGAGAAGGATCCGACTGGAAAGCTTCTTGCATAAGGGGATGTAGAATCGGTAGCAACACCCCAGCAGCTCTTGCAGTACACGAAGGGATGGCCAAAGAAAGTACCAGTTCACAAAGGCAAATACCATAGCCTAGACCAAGGGTTGTCGCGCCAACGTATTTGAGGACCATAAAGCACATGCGCTTACCGAGTCCCGTGGCGGCAAAACCACTTGAGAAGAAGAAAGCAAACATGACGAGCCACACCGAACTGTTAGCGAATCCAGACAACATTTGCTCTGTGGTGAGAACACCAGTAACAGCACACATACCCAGACTGACCAAGCATACACCAGCCAATGGCAGGGGCTCAGCAACGGCAGCAACAATAGTGCAAATAAAGAGTACGAACACTTGCCATGTATCGTGGCCAAGGCCTTCAGGGACCAACCACCATAGAATTAGACCAAGAGCATATATAGCAATAATCTTGGGTATGTTAGCACCAGGCCAAACAGTCTTATGCCACTCCTTAAGCTTCAACCATTTTAACCTCATACCCGTTGGGGGTGTAGGAGGTTCTTTAGGAACATCGTTGGTCATAGGCAAAATCTCAGCTGCATCACTGGCAGCTTGCTTCTTTCGCCAGAAACGTAGCCGTTCCCACTTGCTGGGGCCCTTCGAGATCACCTCAGCCGCAGTATCAACTGAGCTCTCGTTGATGGAGGAGTCAGTAACGGGGCTGACCGAAGGCGCTGGGCTGTTCACTTGCAATACTTCAGGAGCTGCGCTCATGATAAGACGGTGTAGGGGTGAGTCAGGAACGAGTGTGTCGAAAAACCATCGGCTTACAGCCAACAGGTAACAAGCTAAAGCCCAATGCCTCCAACAACGCTCCGCCGCCACAATGACCCTTCAAGAATTAGAGACAAATAACACAACTCTCCCTGGTATATTGTGAGAGTTCTCGTGGAGTTCTCGTCAAATATCGAAATGAGCGACTCAGGCCGGTGACCCTCTCAGGACCAAGCTTCGAAACGTTCGGGCCTTTCGTTCGACGATCTCAGAAAGAGTAGTACGTCTGAGCCACAGTTGGGGTTACTCTGTGTAGCAATCTAAGCAGCGTATTTCGTTCTCCGGCAAATTCGAAAAAAAAAATCAATGTTAAGTACTGTCTGTAATGTTCGTATCGAAAACGACACGTTGATATCCACGAATTCACGAATGCAGTGGGCATGAGAGCGACTGCCGTTTTTAGGCTGTGAGTTTCTGATGGCTACCCATAGTAGCACTTGTTGATACATAACAACAGAATGCCATGACCAGATTAGCAGAAATGATCGTCGATGAAAGCTCACAACTCTCCATAACTGTCCCATACTGAAAATGGTGGAAGACTAAAAATAAAATAAGTAATAAAACCACTTAAACCACAATCCACAATTCATCATTACTTCCCAATAGAGAGAAACTCGGAATAGTAAAAGACTTCCTCATACACTCTTTCACTATCATTCGTCATTGAGTATTACAACATTGACTGAACACAACACGAAGGAGATTCTAGATTCGTTTATAACGTATAATAGATGGGTAAGAGCGGAAATGACGGCCTAAAGACCAGTCATTATTCAGAGATGTACAGATGAACGATGCGCTCCCTAAGACTTCCAATAACCGAGTATCCACCAATAACCAAAGCCCACCGACATGAGCAAGCACATGTTAACAACAAAGAGGATGACACCCAGCAACCACCACTCGCCAGTCTTGACATACCCCAAGGCAAATAGAGGTGGATTTGAGGAGGAAGTGTACGGAGTTAAATGGCCTGATAGTGTTGTGTAAGCCAAAGCCCGGCATCCCATTTCCATTGGCACATGTGACTGCTGCATTATCGACAGGAACACTGGGAAGAGAGCTGACACGTGAGCAGTGATCGAAGCGAAAGCGTATTGGGTAGCATAGAAAATAAAGGTAATAAGAATGGTAACAGGTACCGCTGACATGCCGGATAAGTCTATCAGTGATGCGAACCAGTCAAAGAAGCCTTTCTCCTTGAGTTCACTCGCCAACATCAATAATACGCCAAACCATATGAGCAGGTCGAATGCTCCTTGATTGCTGACAATATCATCCTTAACGTTTATGATTCCCAACAAGAGGAGACATGCCACGCCTATGGAGGCTACAGCAGTGGTTGAAAATGGGAAGATAGTTTTCACCATGGACGAGAGAATCCACAACAAAATAACAATTCCAAATACAATCATCATCTGTATCTCCCCCATAGTCATCGCGCCCATCTCCTTAAGCTTGTTCTCAGCAATGCTTTTCGCCTCAGGCGTTTTCTTTATCTCAGGAGGGAAGACCAAGAATATCACCAGTGGGGCTATAGCCAGTGGGAATATACCCACAGGGGCCATACTGTAGGCCCATTCTACCCACCCAACATCAACTCCCACATCCCGCATAAACTGGGCCATCAGTGCGTTCCATGCTCCTCCCGTAAGCCAGCTTATAGATGAGGTTGCATTAGCTGTGAACTCTACCATGATCAGATATTTTCCGATCAGTTTCTCCGTACCTTGTCTAGGTGATGAACTGAAGCCTTCCTCTAGTAGTGGTTGAAGTATAGGAAGCATGATGCCCGCAGCTCTGGCCGTAGACGAAGGGATTGCAATAGCGAGAATAAACTCACAGAGGCAGAAGCCATATGCCAGACCAAGGGTAGTCGAGCCCACCAACTTCAACACGTAAAAGCATATACGCTTGCCCAGGCCAGTCGAGACGAACCCACTAGAGATAAAGAAGGCGAACACGATAAGCCACACCGTATCATTGCCAAACCCGGAGAGCATCTCTGCAGTAGTTAGCGTTTGAGTAAGAGCAATAACCGCTAGCATGACTAGGCATACCCCAGACATTGGTAACGGTTCCATGATAGCTCCCAAAATAGTGACCAAGAACAGTACAAAGACATGCCAAGTTTGTGCTGGTAGACCTGAGGGCACCACCCACCACAGAGCCAAGGCGACTACTACCAACAGTAAACACTCGAAAAGATTCGCCCCACGCCACTGCGTTTTATGCCAATACCACACCTTGTGGAAGATGTTGTACTTTTTGGGTATACCCGTATTCGGTGCAGGCAGTGATTCAACATCCAGGGTCGACATGGACCTTTCAGCGGCACCACCACTCTTCTCCTTCGCCACAGTCGATGCACGACGAACAGCCATTGAGGATAAGTACAACTGAACCCACTCCCACATTTTGATAAGAACACAGAAAAAGTATCAACAAGGAAACGATAAACTCAATACTCGAGACGTAACCTCGCCGTCACGAATTACCCCCTGGAAATACCTTATAAGAGCTCCTCCCTTCCCCCTGAATCAGCACTAGTAATCATAATTGCATTAGACTAAATTATGTATAACCCCATGAATACATATCATATCATAATACCATGTACACGATAACCTATTGATGATTATATATATCATAAACATATAATATAAGATATAAAGTATAAGTTCGATACACTTAGCTCTTGTACTACGGGGTGCAACATATAAAATTTGATACTGTCTGTAACTGTCTGCAGAATTCACCGAATTTCCCAGTGAGAAATAGCTCCTTAGAAAGATCTTGGTGAGCGTTTTCCAATGGTATTCCTTGCATTCCAAGTTACATACAGTACCACATTTCATTTAGGGCACTCTGTAGCATATCCCCCAGCCGTCTCTGGTGTTGGTCTAGCCGATTAGAGAGGCGTCTCGTCTCGTAGACGCCGCCACTACCTACACCCCGTTGTCGACCGACCCCTCCCCTTCATCAACTCCATAGATGCCAATAACGTAACGTCAGCTTCGGATAAAGCAGGGCAGACTACCCACTCCATTACGTGGTGATAAGGAGGCCATTTTGCTAGCATGGAGGGACAGGGCCTACTCTAGAGGAAAGGGGCTATTACCAGCCCGTCGTCGACATGACTAAGACACTCGACAGAGTGGAGTAGCTAGTGGACAGGCCATGGGCAACACGAGATGGATAACTATAATTACTAACCTACCACTCCTCTTAAAACTCAACCCCACCTCTACTGAACCACAACAACATGATCCACCATAATATACCATGGCCATCCCCCACCGCTTCAAAGGTTACGACATCCGCCCTTCTCAACCACCCGGAGGGTACGCCTCTCTTGCTAGCATACTGTTGACCTCTCCCCCTCTCTCCTCCCTCACCTTAGCCGCCGTAGCCACCTCCCCCTCAAGTCGCGCCCTCAAATACGGGTGCTTTAAAATCAACGACGCTCGTGGTTGCCAAGCCTCCTCCAAACCTGACCAATCTCTTAGCGGAGCGAAGCGATTCACGAATCACATTTTTACCAGGCCGACTTTCCTTAACGTAATTGACAACATCCTCACTCCTCACAGGTGGATCTATGATGCAGTCCAACACCTCGACCTAGCCAACCACGTCACAGCTCGCCCATCCGTGCAAATCATCCACTTACCATCTCTCTCAACTCCACGCTCTCCCTCAGCTCCTCGTCTGTGACACCACACAGGAGCTTCTTTACCACCGTTTCAAAGGTGATATTCCCTCCCACTTCAATCACCCTTCTCAGGTAATTCATCACATATACTATCGCTGGGGTACATATCAAAGTCGGGCCACCACACCGACTAAGCGCTGACTGTCCCTGGGTAGTGACTGCTGCTGCTGCGGTCTCCACTCCCACCAAGCCCTCCAACCACTTCAATGTACTCTCATACCTACAACAATACAACAGCAACAGCAACAGCACTGTCCTCCCACCCCCTCCCTACCACTGTCGTCTCCTTCGTGGCATTTCCGAGTTAAAATAGCTCTTCAGCATGCTCTGCTCGTTGTCCAATCGTAATCGACCCAAAGCCACTTCAGGTCGACTAATCATTCGATCCTCCATAGCTTCACCACCAACCCTACCATATCGCCTTAGCCTTTCCCTGGCCCATCCCTCTCCTTTCACTACAAAGTCCTCCCTCGACAAGCCGCAACCTATACAATGCATTCGACGTCCCCAACTGACCTCCTCCCCCTACCTCCGTGCCGCACTCCTGCCCTTATCTAGCTCCATAAACCTCAGAGCTCCCATCACTTTACCACACTCTCCATCCAGCCTAGCCCCTCGACGCTGACCGACACTTTCACAACCTCCCATACCCACCTCAATAGCCCACTTGCATTATCCTCTTTATGATGCTCTCACCCATCGAGGAGTCCTCAAGACCCGTCCTCTCCGGCATCTCTATTTCGGGCAGATAATCACACGCGTTTTTCCCCGACTTAGCCGAGAGCGCGGCACTTCCTCTATCAACATCACTCGAAGGAGACAGGCCGCCACTCTCAGCAACGGAGTCCACAGGCGATTCCTTAACAGATATCTACAACCCCAAACGCATAACCTCACGAGCTCCCCACCTCCCAATATTCTTATATTCGATTGTTTCCTCCATATGATGAGAATTTTCAGATAACTTCGTATCAACAATTTCCTCTTTATTTCCTCATCACCTCGCATGAGTAACTATAACCTCCACCCCTCTCCCTACCCTCAGCTGAGCCAGTGACGGCGGCGAGCGCCCCCCTGCCCTACTATACGACCCTTGTTTAGGAGCGAGGCTATCCATCCTCGTTGCATGTGCGCTCGACCTCCTAGAACTACCACCTCCAGCACTACTCCTCCTCAATGGAGCCCCCAAAAGCAAGGACCGTCTTCTACGTCCTCTACCACCCTACACCAACCCATCATAGCGGTGACTACCATAACTACTACTCACCGCTCCACGTGCATCCACCTTCTGTCGAGGTTCCATCGCAAGGTAATACCTATACCACACCAAAAACAATAGCAAAGTAGAGCCCCCCAAAGCACTGCATGTGATTTCCCCTGTAACTCCCGAAATGGATGGATGATATACAGTTCGTTACCAGCAGTTACCAGACGAGGCTGGTCTCCAGCCGCTGGAGACGTCAATGAGGAGCTCTGATTTCGAAGCACTCCATACACCTACTACTAAGGAGTGGTGTTTATGATGAAAGTATTGCTCGTAGAACTGCTACTACTAAGTAGGGATGTTTACGATAGGAGTATTATACCCAGAACTACTACTTTAATCCCCGATACTACCCCTTACTATACATCTCCCTCAGCTTCTCCTCTTCCACCTTATCAAGGGCCTTCCTTATTTTGTCCGTCCATGTCTCCTTCTCCTACCAATACATTCCAGCCCGGCACCCCCCCACACTACTACCCCACCTCGCCCTTCTCCACCGTCACATCTGCATCATTCAACTTCAACAATTCCCCCTCCCCCCTAGGTTCCTTCATCCTGCTATCCAACCCATACACCACATATCTCTTCTTCTCACAAACTCACCTGAGGTACTCCTCTACAGCTGGCAGTCGAACTGGGAGCGGCTTCAACGCCCTTTCCCTTGGCGAGCTATAATAAAGCTTCATACTGTGCGAACGGGCCCTCGTACTCTCCGGTACAGCAACTCTCGACCGATGACACCGAGGGCATAGCCCCGCCTCTTTACTCTAAAAGGGAGATCTTTCAACGATTCTGACAAAGCAATAGTGTGGGAAAATATGCAAATATGGTCAACCACATATGTTGGTGACAATATTCAAGACTCGTTTTCTCAATTCGAGTGACCTCTGTCCATCACCGGACAGTTGGTTGGGAGTGTGGGAGAGGGCCAAACACTGTGAACCCGAACCCTCTCCGGGTCTCACCTTGGGCCCTAGGTTCACAGATCATGTTTGGTCACACTAACTATGTCACGGAATATGGCCCATGTTTCCTGACATATGTTACTGTCCCCCAACCAACTTGGGACAAGACTTGAAAAAAAGAAGGAACGAGACTGGTCCATGGGTGGAACCGTCTGAGTCTCACAACATACGGTTCGATCGATAACATCAGAATACACCAACATATTTCTCATTTCGTGCACTTGCTTGAACTTACTTTCTAACGAAACCTTCACGGAAACTCTAGGGAAATTTCGGGGAATTCTCATTGATTTCTGTACATTTCTACCCTAGTTCATATGTAGACTTCTATCACTAGTGAGGAAACTCCCAAGCTCAGCTGAGAAAAGTGAACACAGAGTTAAACACTGCTCGCCAAACCAGATCAAAAGCCTCTATGCAAGTGAAAGTGAAGTTGCACACACGAAATACACCATCAACCTACCCTATGCGAGGAGAGCGACGCCCTATCTGTGAACAGTCGTTCATACGCCTTATACTCCTCATCCGTCTCCACTCTATCATAAAACTCCCAAGGCATTCTAGCCGTGACCACCGCCGACTTTCCAGCACAATAAACACAGTCTTCTAGAGCGCTATGTTCTGTCGGGTTAAAGCCATAGACCCTCCCCGAAAACTTATTAGCAGCCGCTTGGACCCTCCTCCCACTGTTCATCACCCCTTCCCGAATCGCTACCATGCTCAGATCCAGCTTTGGCAATACCACCGGTTTACGTGTTCTCCTATGCGGCGACCAACGCCGAACACGTTTTCCCCTAAAACGACCCTATGTACGCCTACACGTTTCCCATCCATTCGAGTACCATACCATCGCCACCAATCCCCCTCCTTCTGATGCACCCCAACTACAGCACCATCCTCGGGCGTGCGCGCTTCCAACGACGACGACGTCGGTCCACTCCTAGAGGTAACCTCACTCGTCCTCCCTGTAGAGTTGGTCGCTGGCCGTCGGTCTGCGACGACAAGGGGTTTACATCAGCAAACAAAATTCATAAAGCGCTTCCTCACTTTTATTAGGTGCCCACACCGTTAAATTTGAGAGGATAACACCACCCAGACCAGCACCAGATACATCTAAAATCCAACACACCATACCACTCCTCCGCCACTTCACCACCTCCCTACTCTGCCCAGCTATCTCCATATGCTTCGCAAATGCTCCCGTCCTCTCCATCAGCCTAGTATGCTTCACCTCTAGTTCATCCCGATCCACCGGTGCTATCCGACCCATATCCCTCTCACTGAATTGGACCCCTCCTCGCCCCTCGTCATCATCTTCAGCACCATTGATCCGGGAAGCGGTAACCATTATAACAACAACAAAACTGTATTAAAATTCACAACCGCTATTTCCCTCAAAAATAACAAGTGATAGGTACGCGCAGTAGTACGGCATGTAGTATACAGAAATCACCACTGAGTCTGAACATGCCCTCGAGCCAGTCATAACGCCAGAGCTGGCGAAGCGCTTGTGGCCCTAGGGAATACAACAACAACAACAACTATTTCATCCCTATCCTCTGAAGAGAAGCAGAAATACCACTAAGTTGACCCAATAATATCAACAATACATATCATAAACCCGATGCCCTATACAACCTAAAAGCCTCAGTCTAGACAGGAGAGTATCATCATCACCAGCATAAACCCGATATTGTAAAACGCACCATAGCCCATCTCGGAACACGGAAACCAGTACAAGTCATTGTGCGTTCCCTTGACATAAACAGTATAGAAAATCAACATAATAAATCTTCATCGTCATCACACTCAAAACTTTACCGGGGGAATTTCACCAACTATAAATTGATATTCTCATATCTTCACTTTTCAGCCTCTGCCAGCTTAGCTCGGACCACTTCCTTCAGCTTCTGCAAATCTTTATTGAAATTACGCAGACCCTCTGCCAACTTCTCCGTAGCACAGGCGTCTTCATTCAGCATCCAACGGAACTCAGGCTCAGTAAGGTCGGCCAGCTTGTCGGTATCAGCCACGGCCCTCTCCGGGTCCAGATACCTCTTCATACCGCTCACATCAGTGTTGTCCTGGAGCTCCTTGAGCAGCTTTGGTGAGATAGTAAGCTTATCACAACCGGCAAGGCCACGGATCTCATCCGTGTTACGGAAGGAAGCGCCCATAACAATAGTGTTGTAGCCGTACTTCTTGTAGTAGTTATAGATCTTCCTCACAGACTGAACCCCCGGGTCCTCGTCCATAGGGTACGAGGCCTTTCCAGTGCTCTTCTTATACCAGTCGAGAATGCGGCCAACAAAGGGCGAGATGAGGGTGGCACCAGCCTGGGCAGCTCCAACGGCCTAAGATATGAATCTTAAGGTCGACCATGCAAGATACAAAATAGGCCCATTACCTGGGCAAATGAGAAGAGGAGAGTCATATTGCAATGAATTCCCTCCTTCTCAAGCTCCTTACACGCCTGAATGCACTCCCACGTCGAAGCCATCTTGATGAGAATACGATCACGAGAGATGCCCATGGACTCATACCTGAACAAAATCCATACCACACCAATTCCAACTCTTCCCCCTACATGCTGATGATCTTCCTAGCTTTATTAAGACTAGCCTGCCTGTCGAAGGACAAGTTGGCATCGCACTCAGTCGAGACATAACCATCGACGATCTGCAGGATCTCGAAACCGAAGCTCACGGCCAACTGGTCGCAGACCTAGCATAGATGCACTCAGAAGAGATCAAGTAGAAAGCTCTTACCTCGTCAACCAGGGCATCTCCGGTAAGATTCTGAGCTTTAGCGTTCTTGATGGCTTTGGTCATCACATGTGCATACTCGGGCATTTGAGCCGCCTGGTACAGCAGAGTAGGGTTGGTAGTAGCGTCGTCAGGACGGAACTGTTTGATCTTATCGAAATCACCTAAGTCGAAATAAACTTCTTTTGACGCATTCACCACCAGCCTGTGGGGGGAAAATCCAATTATGGAGAACCACCAGAGGCTTGGCCCTCAGAAGAGTACTGTAGGACTTGCGAAACTATATCCCCGAGATCCGCTCTTCTCACCTGTATCAGCCACAACAGAAGTCATGTTCTTCAAGGCCTCCAACTGGTTCGAAGCGTCCAGTGTCTTAGCTTTCTTCGGTGAAGAAGCGGCGGGATGGGCACCTGCAAGATTCTTAGGGGAAGGCATTGAGACTACTACAAATAACTGCTCGAGGACGAGGTTTCTTTTATAAACAGAATTATCCACGTAGTCTGGCATGATAGATAATACGAGTCACAAGTGCAACAACGTTCATTATCAGCAGCCTTAACTAGTCGAACAAATAAACAGAGCTTCCCAAGAGAGACGGGCTGAAAAATGGTACGTAGTATTAGTGCGAAGGTTGAGGACGAGGTAATGAACTCACATACAATGGAGACAGAAGAGCTTTTTTTTCGTCCCACTACGGAGCTGAGGGATGGGGCGCGCGCGGTTGAATCTTAGCGGAGCGAAGCGCAAAATGAAACTTTCGTCTGTCAGCTCACAAACCTCCGTTTCTCTGGAGGATCTGTTCATTCGCTTGAGTGTTAAAAGTTGATGAAATTTTCATTAATCAGATTTCGTGCTGAATTCTGTTCCCTTAACAAAGTTCTCGTAAATTGTACAATTCAGCCGCGCTGATGGACATTATCAAACAAATAGGATGACTTGTTCACACAGAAATGTCTTCAGCCTTTTACTCCCCTCCCTCTATGTCCTCTCCCCTAGCCATCACCATCACTGCTTCTCGTCGTAGTCGAAGACTCAGTCTAGCCTCTGTCGAAGGTGCCCAAGAGGTTGCTGATAACGATGACAACAGGCATGTCCCTTTCCCCTCTACTCTACCCGTATTGGTCTCCCCCCTCAGAGGCTTCGTATCTTGCAGCCTCCTAGAGCTACTCGCATCTTCATCAACCAACAAGGAGAATAATTTCAGTACACCTTCCACCTGGGCTCTTATCGGGCCTACTCTGTATCTTGCCAGGAAGCGACCTAGATTCCCCCGTCAGCAGGGAGGCGAACCCCGCATTGACACGTTCGTCCTCTCGCCGTGGTAGTCGACGCTTTTCCATCGGTTCCACTACTGACAAGATGATGCACAAACAAGAGAGCTTCGGCGACAAGGACCTACTGTGAGCTCAACTGCAAGTGCTCCTTCCACAAACGTCTTCAGAGCCCAAGGCGACTCTGATCATTTCCGAAGCAGTCTGGTGGGTTTCGCATGCAAGAAGGGACTCAAGCCTGTCAGTGAGTGCTGTCTCTAGCCTTTCGCATTCACTTCATAGTCGCCCTCAGGTCCCAATCAGGACTCCTTCCTGGTAATTCGTGTTGAAGGCGACGTGTCCATTTATGGCGTGTTCGACGGTCACGGCAAGAAGGGTCACGACGTGAGCAACTTCGTCAAGGAGTACCTCCCCAAGCACCTCGTTGGTGTACTGTCCTGTCCTCGACCTACATACACTTGTATTCATCGCGATCAGCACCCCTCCTTTCGGTCGGACCCTCGTACTGCACTCCGTGATGCATTTCTGGCGACCCAGCAGATGCTCGAAATGACCACACGTGACGGCACATTGGACGCTGCTGTTTCCGGGACTACCTGTAACCGTTTACCCGTCGGGTTTGGGGCTTCTACTCGCTGGCCCTAGGCACGGTCGTCCTTCATTTCGAGAAGGATGATGATGAGGCCACACCGTCAGGCGGTCAATGCCTCTACGTCGCCCATGTTGGGGACAGCCGTTGTGTCCTGGCCCAGAGGAGCTCAGCCAATGGAAGTCTCCTTGCTGTTGATCTCACCTCGGATCACAAGCCAGGTCGATGATCCTTCCCTCGAGGGCACCATGTGTATGCTCATTTCAGATTTGCCGCTAGAGAGAGCCCGCATCATTGCACGTGGTGGTGCCGTTCACAAACGCCCACATGATGTCAGCCATCGGGTTTACGTACAAGGCAAACCCTATCCAGGTTTAGCCATGTCCAGAGCACTTGGTGAGTTGTCTCTCTGAGCAACTCCGCATCTTATCCCTCTCAGGGGACCTCGTTGGTTACTATGATGCGGGGGTGTCGGCCGAACCGGAGACCATCCGTCGGGAACTACAAAATGAAGATCAAGGTGTGTCCTTGGAATAGCGCGCGAGATCTACCAAAGCGAATGCCTCTCAGAGGAAGCAAACTCTACAGCCCCGAGCTCGGCTGGCGAGGGCACTCCGTTCATGAGCCCAGCGAGTGAGCCGTCACACCTGTTGCCACCGACGGGTTTTCGGCTGAGTACCGCTAGTAATAATAGCAGTTGTGGTCTTCTAAGCCCCAAAGTCGAGATTGATATGAAGCGAGTTGATCGAAATATTGACAAGTTCTTGGTACGTCAACTAGTCTCTCTTGAATGCACTTCCGATACCCTCAGGTCCTCTGCTCGGACGGCGTGTGGGAATTTATTTCATCTCAAGAGGCAGTCGACATTGTATCAAAGTACACACCGCAGCACTCGATGGAAGCCGCCCATGACCTGGCTAAGGAGAGCTGGGCACGATGGATGCATGTAGACCTCTTGTGCTACTCTACCTCGCAGTGTTGTACTTAGGAAGAGGACGGGACTGTAGTGGATGACATCACCAGTATAGTAGTCCACCTCTGAAGATACTCAAACCGTACGGTTTCACTTATATGTACTCTTTGATGCAGCATCCGTTTTGTAATTCCCCAACACTGACGGTTACTACTGCCAATATTTGCATGTGTATTTATTCACCTTAAACTACAGACGTTATAACATGTACAGTACCATGAAGCAAGCACATCTTGAAAAGGAAGCTACTGCAATGTTATCATCTAGATTGAAGCTCATGAAATATCATACTCCCTAGTGGGGAAGGTTTCATTCCCAGTAGCATGTCTACTGACCATCACGAACTATCCAGGAATTATCGATTCTTTGTTGTGTTACCAGTTGGGATAGCTCAGTGTATAGTACTTGACGGTAGTGTAAGGAGAAGTACCACTTCGTCGGGGGTGAGAAAATAGTAACTGTGAAGCAGGCCTCTCGTTGGGTGCATGAGTCGTTTTCAATCGGAATCAAGTCGGACAGGTCGAGGGTTACTCGTAAGTTCCTAATGGTGTGGTATGAATTGTGTTGTGTGAGTACTTCACTTTATCTAGGGGGGTGGTCTCATCACGGGCCTGTGTCTGCATGATCAAGGCCTGCTCGGCTGAGTTCTCATCCCAACGGCGTAGTCCTACTTACACTCATTGAGTCCCTTTGGGTCCTCTATGGTCGGTATATCGATGCATACTGAAGGTTTGAGATGATCGGCTATACCACACTAATCTCAGCATGTTACTGTTTTTAACAAGACTCAGTATGTTCACTCAGAAAGGGTAACCCTGTAGCCTATTCGAGGACTTCGTGCTCAGTAATTTGCTAGGCAGGATGGACAGGAATAAGGCTGAATGCAACACGTCCCTTTTCAAGGGGAGCCCATGCGATCGGAAATGGTATTTCTTATAGTGATGGCGATGACCATGGTGATGCTGATGGTCGTGGTGATGGGGACTGTCAGGGGCCGCGCTAGAAAAGCCTTCAAGATTGGCAGCATGATGTGGGTTAATTATGGTATAACTGAACATGACCGTTGCATTGCTCCATCCGGGCTGCCTCACCCAGCAGGATTGTCGAACACCTCAGGACCGGCCTGCCAATGTGACACCATCGGCTGTCCCAGTCGGGTATTTGGACTGAAAACTATGCGGTTGGGTTGCGCTACGCGGTGAAAATCAAATACACTCTCAACACATTCAAGGAAGGTGTGTATCGGTCGTGGGCTCATACCGACTGCCGTACGACTGACTTGCCAGCCGAATTTACACCGAGGAACACCGTAAACATCTAGCTACTGCGTAGTAAACACTCAGCTAGGACTTCCACTAAAATTCCATTCAATTCATCAATAACATATCAACAAACGAGTTTTGCTGGTGAGTGTCTTGAATCATTTGTCCTCCTTACTGAGGTTGAAAGCCGGGGACATAACCAGTCCCAGGTAGGAAGTCAGGGGTCATCCGGCCGTAGTGCCAATTGCCACTACTTTTGGCAATATGGTCGAGCATGTGCTCACCGTACCGTGTCGCCTCGAGGGCCTCATGAGCAGTCAACTATCGAGACTTGTGTGATGGTGAATACAATGAGGAGCCCACCTCAGCTCTAAATGCAGCGTTCTTAGCAGCAGCACTTGACGCGTGGATTGCCGACAGAATTTCGAAGCCCATACTATTCACTCAAGCGCCTTGAAATGGACGAGTATACTCAACATCAACTCGGTGCTCGTCGCGCATCACCACCATCGTAGTGTTGGGGATGAAGTTCACAGTAATGAAGTCAATTCTTCAAATACTCCTACATCCCTACACTATCAACCAAAGTCATACAGTATGAATGGGAAGCCCCTTAATATCAATGCCGCCGAGTACCATGCATGTTACAACACGACGACGATAATATAACGGTTCAACTACTACTCGACGGCTTCGCACCATCACTATACAATCCTCTCGCCACCTAAGACTTACACCATCACACCAACACGTCGGTCAGCAGACCTCAACTCTGGTGTAGTCAAGGCATGCAGATATTGGACTCCTCATCCAGGACACTACCATCGACTTCAGCATCCGGTAAACATTCCACAAATACATTCTCTGACACGATACACTACAGCACCAAGAGAGCCCCTCGTGGACCCACCAGCTTGAATGTTTTGTTGCATTTCCTGCTTGTACGTATATATCTGAACACACTTTAACCACTACTGCCATGACCAAAGGGAACTTCCCCAACCTCTTCATCGAGTAACTCATCAGACCTCCAATTTCCCGTGCTGCCTCGTCGCCCTGTCTTGTCGTTAATTCTAATGTAGTCCCTACACCACAACATGATGGCCCTTCCATCACAAAAACCCCACATACTTGAATGATTGAGTATTATAAGCCTCTACCTGTCCCGAAGCCACAATGTCACCAAATACCCTAAAATCATCACTAAAACACAAGCACATGGAAATCACCTCACCGTCGAATATCACATCCTGGTATTCTATCACCAAATATACTGTCCGGATCAGTATTAGATTGCGCCATTACCATCGACTTCCACTCCAATGACCAAGCCGGGATATGCTACAAGATACGCTACGCACTGCCAAGATTTTTGTCACAAGCCACCTTCCCTCTCGCATCCTCAGAATGCTCATCAGCTCCCTCATCGTACTCCGAGATCGGATACCTGACCAAGCCCTCGACATGCCATCCATCGACACACCTACTGGTCATCGAATCTAGGCGGCGACTCTAAACTCCTCAGCCGTTTAACCTAGGATGTGTAGATGGTGTGGTATGAAATAATGATAAACAACAGCAGTAGCACCTTTCCCCCTGTTATGGTTATTCGATGTTGTGCCGTATTCTTGCTCACTGTAGTCGATAACAGGACACGCCGCCCCGACCCCACGTCCTCCGAGGATGCTGTTATAATTCTATCAGTGCTATAAGATATTATTTTTAATGATTTAATATTGATATTTAATGAGTTGAAGTTTCACCCGTGATATGAAAAAAAACACCACGGAAAACACGCTCCACAAAGCAGTGCATATCGCCGCGAATATCGGCTTTTTCACCGAGTACTTCGCCACTTAACGTAAAACGAGTACAACCCCCTCATATTTATACATTCATAACAAGTGATACTATGATTAACCATAACACACCATCATCATAGACCCCACGTTTATAGCTGCCGTCGCTCCCCGTAGGCGGTATCGGTGTCGAAAAAACTTTGGAGACTTCATATTCGCTCGGCAGGCTCTCTAACATAACCGACATCCCCCAATGAGCCCTTACCACGCCCTCACCAACTGCCCTTCGCACGTCTACTTCCATGGCCCCTCCCTTCTCGCCAGCTATAGGGGACATCACTGACAACCACCGCCACCACAATGGAATTTCGCGGACCGTGATATGAAAAACACTAGTGAAAAATATATTTTACGACTACTGCACATCGCGATTAGCAGGTTTCTCACTTCACGTAAAATGCGTGAAACTCCATCAATAACGCGTCACCGCCTTGTATGCTTATCACTATTACCATCGTTTGTCTCCATCATCTCAGCGATACTCCTCCTCCCTTTAGCCCATGTTGGTGTTGGAGGATCTACTGCTACTACTGCTCCTGGACGAGCATCAGGGAAATAACCTATCATACGCCTTTTCTATACACTGGAGTTTCACGACCCGATCAACGGGAAGTGGCGTGAAACACGAGATATTCGTGAAACATGTTTTTCAAACGAAATAGCCCACGACTGCTAGCTGTCTTTCTTCCCTACTCCTCCTACTTATTATTCCACAAACTCGTGTGAAATAACACCATCATAATAATAACGCAATAACTCCATCCTAAGCCTACCGACCCGGCAGTGGCCCACCTCTCTGCATTTGTCGCTTCACAGAGGCCGACATTGACGTAGTCGTATCGGTTCGAGTTATATGCCGTAGACCCGCCGAGTGCTTCTTAGCCTATCGTAGGGTACTTCTACTACACCATCTACAACCAAACACCGACTTCAAATTTGCTCGCTAAGTCCTTCACTCGGGATCGTCGCGTTTCGTGAGCAGTAGAGCACTAACAGGGAGGCCATACCACACCATCACCAAATCACGTGGCATCTACCGAGGACTGATCTCCCATGTTGAATACTGAGTGATTGCCGATAGACCTAATGAAACCTCCATACCACAGCTTCCCATCTTCGATTTAATATTATTCCAATACCACACCTCGACGAATTCCTTACAGTAGTTTGTCTCCTGGTGACCGTTGTACCACCGCCGTGGGCAATGCTGTAGTAGCTCCCTTTGGCAGATCCTTCTCACTGTCCTCCTCATTAACGCTGGAACAACAAAGGGAGTCTGCAGCCTGCGCCGTCGGAGGCCCTGCCAGCGCAGCACCATGCTTCCACACACGTAATCGGATCGCTCACCTCTACGATGGGGGAGGAGGGGCGCTGTCATAACCGTCGGCTTGGCGGGAATAGGAACGCCTCGGCTCTCCAGCCAGGACGGTATTCGGGCTAATATGTCCTCTAGACTGAGACACGATGAGGGCAAGGAGTGGTATAAGATACGCTCAAGGTGGACCGTATAGCTCTACTATTGTAGCGTTCCCAGATGAAACTGATTCTGTCACCAAAACATTGCGCGTCGCATCCTCGGTTAAATTGAATTCCTTAACTTTCGAATGGACCGGGTACTGATGTTAACGAAAAAGGTAAAACACTAACCGAATGGGGAAAAGTTCAAACTTGTCGGAAGAAATAATTTGACCTCGAAGTTCTGTAGTAGTAACGACTACCGCAACGTTAGAACCCCCACGAAAGCTATACTCAGATTTGTTATATAATAGCATCAAGCCCGCAAGACCAAAACAGACCCCATGTGAGAGTAACACTCGAAATTAACGCAGCGAATACGAACTCGCCTCGTAGTACTGATACGTCCACGGATGGGTAACCAAAAGCAACTACGCCAGCCCCAGCAGTGTAGGACAATATTCGCTGGTTCTCCTACACATAGAGATTCATATGAAAAATTTCGAGGAGACCTGAGCATTTTTTCCTTCACTTTCGTACCCTTATTATTGCGCCAATTTCACTTTACTCCATCACCCTGAACCACGCCGAGGTAAAGCATACATTTCCAGTCTTACCCTAGCGTGGTAGTTTCTATAAAGTCTTACCATAAAAATAGTAAGAATACTATAATAATAATGGAGTTTCACCCGTTTTACGCGAAGTGACGTAAAACTCGGTGTAAAACGCGATATTCGCGGTGATATGCAGTAGTCGTGAAATATGTTTTTCACTAGTGTTTTTCATATCACTAGGGTGGTGAAACTCCAATCATACTATATAACTAGTATAATAATAATAATTATACTACTAATACTATGATAATTCTTACTACAAATAGGTACTGTTCATTCAGCGTTCCCTTCCTCCCCGTATTCACATCTATCCACCGACCATTCGTCAGCTTCCTTCATACAAGTCCTCATCTCCAATTCCACTCCCTTTACCCCCGCATCACCAGCATCTGCTAGGCACCCAAACATGCCTGTTAGATCCACTCTTCGATGCTCTGTGGAGGGCAAGTGGGAGAATGACATTAAGAAAATGCAAGACGAGAATACCACTCCTTCGGCAACTCCCAGAATGCCAACACTCTCCAAGAAGAGGAAATGACAATTGACCCTTCAAATTGACAATTACAACTCAACAACATCATCATCATCACTGAAAAGTTAAAACTCAGTTCATGTTCGGAAGTCTTATCACACTGCAGGTACCACTCTAGTTCGGTAGCGATTCCTATATACCAAAACCTGCGGGTCTACTACCTGTAGGCATCACAGCTCACTGGGGAGGAATGAGCCGGTATTACAATGTGAGGAAAGGCTCCTAGACTGAATCGACGGTAGCCCAGAGTGGAGAAGAGGAGCTCAAAATCCTCACTGGGTGGAGTGTCATGTCTCTCGCTTATCAGAAAAGAATAACGGCTCTGAGGATAGAACCCGGGTCCTTCCGATTACTCATCCTTTGTCACGTGCTCTGCCACCTTACCAATGCTACATGATCCGTCCAGTCCACATTTTCTGCCTTATCCACAGTGCAGTTGGTATTGACCGGATGAACGAACCGAGATATACCACTCATCGCACTGAACACATCCACGTGTATCACACACTCTTCCTCCGCAACTCCAACCAAAAATCCCGACTGGGGGACCACTTCTGAAATTTTATGCAATTTTTCGCACAAGATGATGCCATGCTTTTTCTACCATCGCCTACGACGTGACCGCCCTCGACCACGACGGGTAAAAGTGAGGACAAATTAAAGCGCCCAAGCAGCAATGGATAGGGCGAATCATACGTCAGCACCTGCAGCCAGCAAGTAATGGTCAATTTCGTGGCGAGTGACTCTTGCCTGGGTCCCAGGTCCGTCTCGCATTAGCACAGCCGAGAGCCGCTGCATCGCGTAACCGCTGGGATAGTTGTATACCGAAGCCACCGTTCGAGCCCAGAAGAGACCGACCTTAGGAAAACCGTCTGATGCTTACCAGTGTTGGAAAATATGCATATGGTCAACCTCATGTGCTGGTGACAATATGAGAATTCCGAGGGAATTTCGAGGAATTCGTATTAGTTTCTGAACACTTCTCCCTGAGTTCGTTCGCAAACTTCTATATAGTCGAGGAAACTCTTGAGCTCAGCTGAGAAAAACGATCATGTTTACCAACTCTGGCACTCTCGCGCCTTGACATTTCATCGAGAAGGTCTCGTAAGGTGCCGGACCCCGATTTTCGTATATTCAGTAGAACAGAGTATATGAGTATTGAACCCACGGCCTTTCCCATGCCAGCGCACCCCTCTCCCCATCTCACTGTAACAACTGCAATCCCAACGAGTCCACTACGGAGTAAACAGATCCTGAGCACACGGTTCTTAGTCATGGACGCCATCATTCTCCCCGTCATTGAGTTATACGCCTCAGGTCCATATCGCCTTGCCACGGAAGAAAGATACTGCAATAACCTACTTAATGACAACCGCGCTCGCCCCAATGATCGATTATGATGATAATCATCATCCCACCGATGAGCTCCACAAGCCGCCACTATTGTCAGTGCCAGGAGGCTAGGGAAAATGAACCTTATCTCCTTATGTGGTATTAGAGACATCATCATTATCGGTGCCACATACCATACCATAAAAAGCGGTACGATGCGTATCTATGTCAATTCGATACATACGTATGAGGGTTACAAAAAAACTGCCCACAGAGAGGGGGGGAAATTCATCACCGAAATTAACCCAATAGCCTACTACTGAGGGGGTATTCGAATTACGCATCTCCAGCCGTTCATGCCCGACTCCCGTGATAGGAAAAGTCAGTGCACGATACCGCCCCAACTCACTTCTTTATCCACGAACCCTACAGGTGGCCGGATGACTGCTAGTGGTATTAACAAAAGTAGTGGTCCAAGCCCCTGACGATAGTTATCGTAATCGATTAGTATCGAGTTGTACCCGTATAGTAGCATTGGTGATATACCAATGCCACGGTTGTCTTCCCCAGAGGTAGGACTTATTCTCCACTGCATTGAACCAAAACACCCATCCCTCAGGCCACAACACCCCCCGTTGCCACATCTAACACCGCCACCTCCTCTACTACTGAAATCACTAAGCCTGCTCACCAGAGAGTCCAGAGGGATCGACAATACTATGCCACACATAGCTGCCTTCAGTCCACTCAACGCTACTACTACCACTGACGTCACCAACTACACATGAGAGACTCTCACAACACAGTGGTTCCCAACCTACCGTCCTAGCCTTCCTGTGCTCTATAGCCTCACGTACGATGACCTCAAGAGCCAGTGCTAGTGCTACTGCTAGGAGGTCACAACGGAATACCAATGCTGTGAATGTCTGTGTAGTAAAAAACCCACCAAAACACCTATAAAGGAGCATATAGCGCTACCATGATTTCCACTGATGTAAGCAGCTTCCCCTCCAAATACAACGCCAGGCTATAAGTACCTAGGGTAACTCTATGTTGGTTTCCAGGCTGACACTTCATCACTGAGTATAAGGCCAAAAGAGTTTGGTAGTAACCTCGTATAGTAGTAGGATAGATGAAAACAGGTGGTGATGCAGAGTGTTAACAGGAGCTGAGAGCAGACCCATAAGGAGGAAGCCTTCAGAGGTAATACTACTGGTAGGATCGGCTTGGTAGCTGACGGACATGCATTCCTCAATCGGCTCAGCACTGCTGTTGCTATCACTGCCATAGTCCCTCGTACTATGTATCTACACGACGATGGTATGAGGCTCACCAGCTTGGTGTAACCCCAGCGTTACGAACAGAATGAGAGGCCTATTACAAAGAGAGGATCCTGTTGTCTTCAAAAGGCCCAAAAACGTAGTCTATCAACCGTACAGTTGGCCATGACGCTACTGCTACGACAAACGAACCTGAGGGATTTATTACCGATGACGGGCAATTTTACCCACCTAAAAACGTCCGCGGTACTACACCGGGGAACTCCAAATGATCATAGGCCTCCAGGTCAGTAGTGTGGTAGAGGAAGTCGTGTACAGCCTAAAGAATACCCTACCAGTATCCCCCCAGAGACGTTTACCCTACCTGTGTGTTGAAGCTCTCCTCGACCTTGGAGTAAGGTGCCAGTAGTACTAGTCCTCCCAATACCAATATTGTATAGAGGCCTATGATACGATCCCATGTAGCATAGAACATGATATCTAACACTAAACGAAAACCTCGTAGGACGACGGTGTATTTTCAGGCGAGCGCGTAATTTAGTGGCGCGTTTTGATTCTAATAGACTACCAAATTGGTAGTACCAATATCGTTTCTTGACTGTGCACACTGTAACTTGTATTGTGCGTGTAGATTTTGTGACCCAATCTGGTATGGTGTCTCCACAAGTGAGGAGTCTCGGTGATTATGACTCGAGCATTCCTGTAGGGCCGTTTAATCACATTCCCGCAGCAGACCAGGAGGGCTCACCGCTGCTGCTCGAGAAACAGGTAAGGACGATGTGTTGGAGGTGTGGTATGAATAATATTGGTAGGCTGCTATATTCAACGATCCAACTACTCTCATTATCATAACTCGTAATAAGAATGATAACACTGTGGCCTACAGGATGAAATTCGATGAGAACGGCGTTCGTGACCAGGTAGTAGTGTGCGAGAAATTTCACGCTACGAAATTGTATTTTTCAGCACGAGTCGGTTCATGGTTTTTGGGTGAGATTCAGCGATCATCCGGAAGTCGCCGATCCAGAGAAGCTCCACAAAGAACTGGGCTTTTTCGAGAGCAAGTTGGCCTATGGTTGTTACTCGAAACAGATGGATAAGTCCGATGAGGCTCTCAGGAGTACTGGTCTCAACCATCTCGGTACTGATGACGAGTAATAACAGCATTATTGAGAAAATTCAAAGTAAACTTCATCTCAGTACATTCCTGCTCACTCTCCATGCAGTGAAGTCGCTCCCATTGACGGTCATTAAGGGGAAGGATGGCAAATATCGGGCTACTGCCTTTAAGCGTGGTAAACAGCTCGTAGTGTATCGTATATATGTCTATGCCCAAGAGCATAAGTGGAATCCAATCCCAACGGTGAAGTATGTCAATATACACGGTATCGACCCTAATACCGGCGAGGAGATCATTGAACAGATGAACCCGTCTATGATATAATCGACGATGCTTCTTCAATACCATTCCCCGAGTTACAATTCATATCAGGATACACAGTTAAGATGATCTCCACCAGCACGGAGTCCATCGGCATCATCATCATCATCATTCCTCTCAAGCCCAGCTGTTGTTTCCAGCGATGACTGCGACGATGACGTCATCTTGGCATTTATGAGGAACCTATGCTCCTCGTTATTGAGCATTGGCGTTTTTGTGTATGTTTGCCAAGGCTTAATCTACTGCGTTATGGGAGAGGGGGAGTAAATAAACGCTCGGCAGTTCTTTTAAATGTTACGCTACATCAGCTCCGGCTCTATAAGTTTCATACGGCAATCGAGAATCTTTAGGATTCCCGCACAGCGAAGATTTTTATCTTCGATACTCAGCGAAAGATCATCAAGTGGTTTCTCCACCGAAAAAGACCGAGACGAGATGTCTCAGATGGAAGTAATAATTCGGGCAAGAAGATGTGTTAGTGATGATATTGTTCAGGTGATGTTCCCTGTGGATTCTGATTATAAAGACGTTGCCCGGCAAAGAGCAGTGTACGATGCTAATAGAGGTAAAACCGGGCGAGTGTGGAGGGTGGGATTGATTATTGTTGGACAGTCACCGGAGAGGATCCAACATCCTCGAGTGACTCTAGTACGGATGATGATAGCGACATTGACGAGGTGGAGCAGTCATCCTATTATAAGAGTGATGAGGGAGCCTCCTTATGGGGTGCCTTGGAGGGCGAATGTGGATTCAAGTAGGATGTAGCTACTGTAGGTTTGTTGTATGCTTAGCTGCAGGTATGAAGGTCCAGAGCCGACACGACATGGAGATTGGCAGTATAAAGGCCGATGCACCGATTTCTGACTATAACTGTTACGAAGTAATTTTTACTTCCTCGTTGGCTCCGTGTTAGAGTGTTATCTTTGCATGAGGGGCTGTTCATATTTTTTTGAATCTAGGATATCAATCTCCCTCACATTGAGAGCAAACTACTGGAGATTCACTAAGATCCTCGGACAGATGGATCCTATGCCTCTCAAGCTATGCCACAGTACAATTAATTCCGCAGGCGACGAGGAGACTAATCTCGTCTGCATATCCTGTGTAAATCCAATTTCGACAGATCACAGAGGTCAATTTCGCTGTTAGTGGGTCCAACTATACAACATTGTTAGCGCTTGACTCTAAACTCATACATAAACAGCGACTGATGCGTGATGTAGTTTACTCTCAACGTCGACTACCCGCTCCCCAATGGTTCGAGGGGACAGTGCGTGGTAATACTATGGTTGATATGTGTGTTGCCGGGTCGGGTTGACGTTGAATGGGATGATAAGTCCGCTAAGACTCTTGACCTCTGTCCCTGTCAAGAGGAGTTCAACTCCACGACCATAACACCAACTCCTGGAGTTGGTGTTATGTGCTTTGCTCTCTAATACTCAGAATTATCAGTTTCATAATTAAACATTAATTTAATAACGTTCAAGTGTATAGTATGGTAGGTTTCGCATAGATAACACCACTTATTTGTGTAGGCGTACGGATGCTTCTAGCTAGAGTGGAACATGCGGGTTCGTGTGATCAGTTCTTGCTGAGTATCAAGTGTTCGTAGCCATCATGGCTCAAGTTCGAGTCTTGTTGTGATTATCTCCGTTAGTCTTATCAACTTTTGCAACCTGCAAGTTTGATTCTATAGTCTCTCCCATTATGGTCACGATCCTTTTGCTCCCGCACAGGGTTCTGTTATGAAAGCTTCACGTTCGCCGTTTGGCTTAGGCGCTAGCTGCTTCAGCTTGGAAATAAGTCTTTTTGTAGTACTGCTTCTCACAAGGACGGCGAATCCTGGACCGATCGTAGTCGAACAAGGTAGTCACCCTCTCTGAGAGAGCCTCTTAAGCGATACGGCTGTCGCAATGTCCTAGACAGGGGCGAGAGATATAAAAATCCGGGATACCACGAGATGCTTGTATTTTTCCGGGATAATGATAATGTTGGAACTTTCATCAACGATTGCGTAACCGGTCCCAATCAGACACGCCTTAAAATCTCTCAGGTGATGAAAAGGATCGTATTTATCATCACGGAGGAGTCTGGCCCAACGTAGCAGGGTTCACACTGTGAACTTCACAGGTGCCACCATAGTTGAGGAATCGGATCCGTCACCCGCTGAATGAGGAACGCGAGAGTAGTCAATGAACAAACTCGACCCATATATCACGCCAATAAGGGTACGAAGCCGCCCGTTCTAACGGGCATCAATTATCATAATTGAATTATGAACTGTCTCAATAGTGCTAATGACACAACGTGGATCACACAATACTTTTGATGACATAAACGCACGCGAAGTGCACTAAATAGGTACGGGAGAAGATAGAAATTTCCCTCTCGCGCAGACCACCTTGTGCCGAAATCGATTACCCGGACGCACTATTTCTGCGTTACCAGTCCTCGCGAACGTGGTCTTCATTGAGTTTGGCATACGATATGCTAGCAGCGGTGTACGAACTCGTCCCATGCACGAGTTAACACAAATTACTACTGACCCGTTGAAAAAGAATGAGCTTATCAAGTCCTTCTCCAACGTCAATTAGTAGTACAGCGGTTGGGGTGTCTGTCAGGGTTAGCTGTTGCCAACAGCTAACACTGACAGAGGTGCCAACAGCCTGTTGGCACCAGCGGCTGGTGATCAGCCTGTTGCTGTCAAACAGCTCCCTGACGCTCTCGACTAGTATATTAGGTGATTTGTGAACGATTAACTGCCAAGTCCTAAGTATACACTAGTCTTGGCTTAAATTATACACCACCGTGACGTACTACGACTAGACGAGGGCCCCTGTACTACTAAAAAATAATATTGTCCTTATCGTAGTTGGAGCAGAATCAAGACACAGAAATTCTGCGACAGAATCAAATACGAAGGAAATCAGAGTCATAAAGAATCAAATTCTTTTTACCCGGAAGCGCGAGTTTGTTGCGCTTTCCGAAGTACGTAACTACCCAATCTGGTGCCACCTATACAAAGTTCAATGCGGCGAGCGCCATTTCGCCCCATTGCCTTGTGCAGTCGTTGAACTTGCTCCCTTACATAACCTACACAAGTCAGTCAACTCTGAGCGCCCGGGCGCGAACGCCTTTGAACGCTGAAACTCTCTGGAAAATATATCATGGTCCAATTTCTCGCCGGGGATGCTGCATGACAGGGAGAAAGCTCGTATATAGATGTTTTGGGTGAAACAAATACTTAGATAACGTTGAAAAAGAGCAACAGAGGTCGGACTTGAAGCACGCGATTCGAACGCCTTATGATTAAGCCCGAAACTCATTGGGAAGTTGGTTATGGTCCATCGGGAAGGGCAAATGAGGAGCTGAACGATGGTATGTATAGGTTTTTGAGTACGAAGAATATGTGGGTGACGTTGAGATAGACTCTATCTGATAGAGACACAGAAGTCAGGTGATAGTATCACCGTGATACTCAGAACACCACGTAAGGCTGGATTTCTCTACTGTAGAGTCTTGGGGATCAAGTATGGTTCTTCCCAGTGACAACTCAGGATCATTTAAGGTTCGGAGTCATTCATTAGGAAATGAGGGTGATAATATCTTATACCGGTATCATATGAATCAATAAGTCCGACCAGAAGCATAATGGGCGATTCGCGAGGCTTCCAAAGCACGAGCAATGAGCAATGGGGCACGCACATACATAGCCCGACCGATAGTTTTCGGGCAACGACGACTCAAGCAGTCGCGCGCCCTATGCAGAAGAAGACCTATGCGAGAGCAACCTCAGCACAGAGACCTTCTCAAGAGCCAGGAGCGAAACACTGTGATACCTTTTTGTTCTCTCAAGAAGTTGACAAGTCAAATAATGAGTAGATACCAATGAGAGTGGACTTGAGAAATGAAATTACAAGATCGACAATCAAGTTAACCAGAATAAATCGACTCATGCGCATGCTTGGTACCCATGCCCATGTTCCTTACTGTAACAAGGTGACCTACAGGCTCCCTGTCTACGAATTGGACAGCAAGGAGAGATGATGGAGTCCTCATCATGGATAGCTACAACAAGATGGTTTCGTCTTTAACCTTCCGGATGATGACGAACTGAACAGAGGAGGTATCCACGTCAACGGAGTACGCCTTATCGAATACACCAACATCTCGGCCTCGGAATAAATCTCTCACGCTAAACCTGAGACGGACGTCGAACGATTCACAGGCCGTACGGAAATTCCCTTCGAAGCTGGTAACGATCGATTTTATATCTCTCGATATCAACGAATGGGAGGTTCTCACTACTAGAACACGTCGGTCAACCCACCAGATCAATATCATGTCAGAACTTGAGTCGAAGACCGAGGATTAGTGATGCGCTTACTGTGTGCCTTCAGCCCATCCTGGTATGTGTCGAGCTGGCTGTAGAACTATGCGTTTAGGGCCATAGATAGAATTGCTATTTTCTAGGAGAACAGCCCAAGTATCGGCAGGTTTATCGGTGGCGGTAAGCTCTTTGATCCAAATTCGCGCACGCTTCTCTGACCACACTACGTAACCCTACGAAGGAGTCAAAGCCCGCAGCATCACAGCAGCAACGGTCGAGCAACCAAACTCATACCTGCTTCCCTAGAAGGTCTTGGTTGACGGCTATTATCTCTTTATTCTGTACGATCTTCCGAGCCCACGAAGGAAACGTTCGTAGATCAGCAGTCATATACCTACAGTGGAAGATCCCGCTAAGTAGAATATCCATCCACACATTCATCCAACGCAAAGGGGTTCGATTTCAGCCTACAGAGGAGCGGCGAACATAGCCCATAGTGCGAACTGTGACTGTTGCTCAACCTCGCTCAGACCGTTGTTGCCGACCACTATCCTACGAGACGACAAAGGCTACGGTTGATCAGTAGAAGAGAACTCCTGACTCACATGTCGGGATCATTCCAGTGGCCAGGACCCGCTGCGCGTATCTGAAGGCTTAAAGTGCGTGCTTTAACTTCTGATGATTCACCATGACGACACGCCATAGAGCCTTGACAGATCATCCAGCAACTACGTTCACTCTTACTAGTATGTTAGTTGGACTAGTTCGAGCCCAAAAATTGGTGATACTCTGGACTGACGCCCAAGAGTCGCGGATATCGTGGAAATTACGCCATAGGTTGCAAGCAGGAGCGATCTCTTTCACGAGAACGTCTTGGTTCTCTGCATGATCGGCTAGATATGCTGGCCAACTGCGGTGGACACATCACAACAATTCGAGTATTCAGTATACCTGCACGAGTAGAGTATCGGCCTCCCTGTAGCGTTCAGAAGTCTCCCTAATCGAGGATATGTTTCTCCGAATGTCTGAAAGACTTTGACCGTCGACGACGCGACAAAGTGGAGACTTACGAGAGACTTGTGAGACTTACACTCGTGTCGGCATAGCATCCATCCACCTTTAGGGAATCAATGCCCCATTCAGCGAAGGTCTTCACGTCCTGTTCGAAGTGTCCCTCAAGACCAGGGTATCCGCCGCAGGTTTTTGTCCCAATGTCCTGTGAGATGAGCAGGTCGAACGTCTGTCAAAGAGGCTCTTACCGCATAGATGCCCAACTTGAGGCCGCGACTGTGCATATAATCGGCCAACCATTTGATACCATGAGGGAAGCGTTCTGGATCGGGAAGGATCTCTCCTGTCTTCGCGTCTCTCTCCAAAGTCGACCAACAATCGTCAATGTTGACGTATTCATAACCGGCATCCCTGAGTACCATCATGAGGGATGTAATGGTAAGTGTAACACGAACAACTCTTCCCTACTTGTATCCTCCACAGATGAGCTCGTCAGCCATATCAGTGTACAGTTTTTCGCTGATGCAGGTATCGGGACGGGCTTTACAATCGGTCTCGCAACCAAACCTCTCCCAACTCAACCACCCCATAGGAGGTGTACGCGCCAGGCCATTTTCGAGGCCGCAGACGAGCTGGTGCATCCCGAAAACCACGAGCGTTACCAGGGTGGATGTATGGGACATGGAAGACCCGTTTGGAAAGCGATGCTACTGATTCGATGCTCCACACTATACACCACCATTGTTCGAGAGCTTAGCGGAGTGTTGCGCTAGTGAAATCACCTCTGTAACGAAAGTGTACAAGACCTGAACATACCATTCAGAGCACACGATCTGCACGTGAGCAAGCGCACATGCGTGCAAAATACGTTTACGACCGTCCCATGGATCCAAGTCTAACAATCTCCTCCTTCCACGTGGATCAACAAGGCACCACTGGCCTGGTGTGCTCCAGCCACACTCACCTAATCCGGGTGATGTGCGGAGGGCATCCCTGCCAGGGATTGCACTGACGTGCAGTAAGTGGGACGGTCCCACTGAGAACAAGTTCACACCAATTGAGTGTCACACAATGCGTTGTCTACCACAATGTGGTAACCCCACAGAACCTTTAACACATTCGCAGGTCATGGAATCCCTGATCTACAAGATTATACTAGTCTGAGTTTAGTGGCAACTTTATCTGATTGGCAATCGCAGCCTGAGATTCTCAGGCACATTCGGAATTCCAGTTCTCGGTGAGAACTTCTCGCTGAATGACGCCTCGGACCGATGCCCTCGGTTTTCCAATCCAACACTGTAGTGGCTCGAGTCGTGTCGGAGGGGCCTTTATTCACGAAGATCTTGTTTTGGGTGACAAGATATGGTAAGAAAAGGGCGCGGAGTCACTAGACAGTCTAGTCTAGACTACACCTTTTAACAGGGTGGCTGAAGGCTGAGGAAGAATCATTCTTCCCTTCCCCAGTAATTCCCGTTTTAGTTCCCGGGAATAATGGCTGGTCTAAAAGGGGAATAATGGACCTCATTCGGGGAATTATAATACAAGACCGGCGTTTACTCCAGGAAAACATGAGTAATAACGAGGAGTCCGGAAAAGGTCATACGCACTCCGATGAGCCCTCTCAGCCGCATGGCCGAGAAGGAAAAAAGGGCTCTCTTGCATTTTCTCACTTTTCCGGCTTTTCACGAGGCGTTTCGAGCGCCGCGCTTGCAAGGCAGTCACTACAAGCTCGGTCCAGTGAACTAATCTTAGCATCAGTTCAATGTGTCGTTCATGGGCAGTATTCTCAGTTGTTGTATTGGTCATAGCAGCAGTTTTTGAAGTCGCTTTGTTTTCATAGGAGCAGTATTCTCAATTGTTGTGTTGGCCATAGCGACAGTAGTTTCAGTCGCTGTGTTGTTCATAGGAGGCTCATATTAGGAGCAGTAATCCCAGTTGGTCATAGTTACTATGGCATAGTAGCAGTACCAGTAGTTGTACTCGCTATTTCGTTCATGGCAGCACTCTGCTGTCCTATCAGCGGTAAGCAGGCGATGCCATATTCTACGGGAAAGGTTCGGAACGAAGCTTGCATCGGAGAGCTCTAAAATGAACATTGTCAAGAGCGCGCGCCCAGACGATGGACATCGTTGTTCATATACGAGTCAGGCGAGTTAGGTACATGTTTGTGGTCTGTGTGAACCTACTGGTCACAAATTGTAAGAGTAGGTCTACACCACATGAAACATCTGATCGAGTGGACGACGGGGAGGCCAGCGATGTATCCAGTGGATACTATCCACTCACAACAAGCCGCTAGTGGTAAACTCTCTTGAACCACACTATCTCACATGCACACGCTACACTAACGTGAACAGTTCATCTAGCAGCACGGAAACGAGCTTACATTACGATAACTTCTTCAGAATTGGGGATACGTAAGTGTGACACGTGCTTCCACTTTCTGACCTTCCGGATAATGACGAAGTGAACAGAGGAGGTGTCCACATTAGCTGAGTACTCGTCAACGAATAGACCAATATTTCGGCCTCGAAATAGGTCCCTCACGCTGAACCTGAAACAGACGTCGAACGTCTCACAGGCCGTACGGAAGCTCAACTCGAGGCTGTTAACGATCGATTTTATACCTCCCGACATCAACGAATGGGAGACTCTCACTAGAACCCGTCCGACGATCCACCACATCGATATCAGTCAGCTCTTTAATCGAACATCGAAGTCTAGTGATGCGCTTACTGTGTGCCTTCAGCCCATCTAGGTATGTGTCGAGTTGGCTGTAGAGCTATGCGTTGGAGGCCAAAAATGGAATTGCTATTTTCTAGGAGAACAGCCCAGGTATCCACAGATTTATCGGTGCCGGCGAGCTCTCTGATCCAAATTCGCGCACCGTTCTCTGACCAGACTACGTAACCCTACGAAGAAGTGGAACTCCGAACCCTCACACTCGGTAGCAGCAACAGCCGAATTGACAAACATCATACTTGCTTCCCCAGAGGATCTTGGTTGATGGCTATTATCTCCTTATTTTGCACGATCTCCCGAGCCCAAGAAGGCATCGTTCGTAGGTCGGCGGTCAGATACCTATAGTAGTAGAATATCTATAGTAGCATACATACTGTCCATAACGCGACGGTAGCCAATGGCTACTTGCCACGATGACGCATAGGTGATACACATCTACCAAACGTAAAAGAGTTCGATGTTAGCCTACAGAGGAGCGGCGAACATAGCCCATAGTGCGAACTGTGACTGTTGCTCAACCTCGCTCAGACCGTTGTTACCGACCACTATCCTACGAGACGACAAAGGCTACGGTTGATCAGTAGAAGAGAACTCCTGTCTCACATGTCGGGATCATTCCAGTGACCAGGACCCGCTGCGCGTATCTAAAAGCACTTCGTGCTTTGGCATCGAATGATTCGCTGTGAGGAGCCTCACAGCGAGTCCTCACTGAGGACACCTGAGGATCCCTCTGAGGACTGACCTCATAGTGCCTCGAGTCAAGGCACTATGAATCAAGGCCCTTGACATATAATTCAGCAACCGCATTTGCTCACCAAAATATCAGTTGAATTTCGTCGAGCCCAAAAGTTGGTGATCCCCTGGATAGATGCCCAAGAGTCGTAGATGTCGTCGAAATTGCGCCACAGATTGCAAGCGGGAGCGATCTCTTTTACAAGAACGTCTTTGTCCTCTGCATGATCGGCTAGGTATGCTGGCCAACTGCGGTGGACACATCACGACAATTCCAGTATTCAGTATACCTGCACGAGTAGAGTATCGGCCTCCCTGTAGCGTTCAGGAGTCTCCCTAATCCAGGATATGTTTCTCCGAATGTCTGAAAAGGCTTTGACCGTCGACGACGCGACAAAGTGGAGCAGTTGTGAGACTTACACTCGTGTTGGCATAACATCCATCCACTTTTAGGGAATCAATGCCCCATTCAGCGAAGGTCTTCACGTCCTGCTCGAAGTGTCCCTCAAGACCCGGGTATCCGCCGCAGGTTTTCGTCCCAATGTCCTATGAGATGAGCAGGTCGAAAGTATGTCAAAGAGGCTCTTACCGCATAGATGCCCAACTTGAGGCCGCGACTGTGCATATAATCGGCCAACCATTTAATACCATGAGGGAATCGTTCTGGATCCGGAAGGATTCCTCCTGTCTTCGCGTCTCTCTCCAAAGTCGACCAACAATCGTCAATGTTGACGTATTCATAACCGGCATTCCCTCATGCTGAGTGTAACACGAACAACTCTTTCCTACTTGTATCCTCCACGGATGAGCTCGTCAGCCATATCAGTGTACAGCTTCTCGCTGATGCAGGTATCGGGATGGGTTTCACAATCGGTCTCGCAACCAAACCTCTCCCAGGCCAACCACCCCATAGGAGGTGTACGTGCCAAATCATTGTCGAGACCGCAGACAAGCGGATGGATCCCAAATGCCACGAGTGATACCAGGGTGGATGTCTGGTACTTCAAAGGCATGTTGTAAGGGCGATGCTACTGATTGGATGCTCCACACTATATTCGTCAGTCCTTTACGAGAAACTTGGCCTGGGCGCGAAAATGTGGCACAATAGGACGCGGAGTCATTGGATGGGAGAAGCCCGACTTTCGATCTGGGAGATCTTAGCACCCTGGGCTACAGTTTAAATCATTCAGATTGAACGTCAGAGCATGATGTCAAGATTCGAGTGTTAAAATTACAGAGATTGACACGGCTGACATAGGCTTGGACTACACTGTAGCATCTAAGATGGACGGATTCTACGATGACGATGTTCCGCGGTGACGTAGTTTAATGGAAGCAGCACCGATAGGCGTGCCACACAAGTGACAGAAGTTCCTCATTCGCAAACGTTGCTCGTCACAGAATTCACGAAAGCCATTAACCAGTTGCCACGGCGCTTCACCCTCCACATAACATCCGATATCTCATAACAACTCATGGTCGTGGTTCTGGAAGCATACTGCCATCAATGCAGTATCATCTAAATCATCCATACTAGATGGACCTACATCGCACTATCGACCAGTGCAAACTGAAGTTATGCTGAGCCGACACTTCAGGACTATCCAAGGGGCAATGCTCATTGACTGAAAGTGGTCTGTACATTCGCAAACTCGTTTCCGCTCTCTGTACGAGCGATTTGGGGCAGCTATGCCACGCCAAGATCTGCCCCAGTACAACAAATTTCTGTCGTGGGGCAAGTATGCCACGCGAGATATGACTGAGTACAACAAGTTCCATCGGCGGGGCGAATATGCTATGCCAAGGTATTCCCGAGTACAATTCAATTTCTCTAGTGGGGCAGCTATGCCGACCTAAGACATAGCTCAGTACAATCAATTCCGCGGACGCCAGGCGACGGACGATCAGTGATCGTCACGATCAAACTCGTCGGCGCGTACGAAGTAGAGCCAATCTGGATGAATTCAAAACCGTGAGACTACATGAGGGAATGCTGTAGACTGAATGAAATCATTGATAATGCTAACTCAGCATTATCACTGATTCCCAGATGACTTGATATTGCTGAGTAGATTTACGCACTCGATACAACTATGATTGAGTGAAATCGCTAATATCATGCTAGTCCTCATGTCTGTCAATAGAACAAGCATGTAGTTGCGGGCAGTGGGGCGAAAGTATGTTGAAACTGCCAAAACTTCTTGTACCACAAACTGCATCCTACCCACCGTGGGAGCGACGGTTATTCAATAATAACGCTCGAGGTGCGGTCTTCCACTATATTTGCAGGAGGAATGCTATCTCCTATAGGCTGTTCGGGAGAGGAAGCGGCAAAATGGGGATTAGAGGCGAAGTCTGAGAATCACATGGGGAAAGGTGAGCGCCAATGTGTGAATTGTTCAGGAGGAGCTTCGATAATATCAACAAGAGACATATCTGAGGGGAAGGAGTAACTCACCCGAATAGAGAGTGAACAAGACGTGTAGGGCGTCAATGATACTAGCCGTACTATTGTCGTGGATGGGGATGTCCAACATGGCACAAATGATCCTGGAGGAGAGCTACGGGGTACAGAGCTGCACGAGAGATTGATGATACCGAATGTAGGTGATCAAATCCACATCCAGATTTGGGTTAGGGTCAAGGACGGCATTGGACGAGGAGAGATACTCTTCCATCTCCGGTGGCCATGCCTGAGCTCAGGTAGCTGACGCGTAGGTGAGGCATCATGGATGGAGACCTCCATGAGCTGATCGATGGAAGGCATCTTGTGAGAATAGTTCATGACCGATGAGGGCGCATTCTCGTCCTTGTGGAGCTCCTCGATTTGGGTTATCCAGTTGTCAACCTTATGCAAAACTAGGTACGCTTAATACTGATGCTGCCACCTCTCTCTGATTGATGGTCTCAGGATATGCCACTTTGCGAACTTGTAAGAAATCAAGATTCCCACATTGAGTCATCGATCGGAGTTTCTGAGAGAATTCAACATCCTAACAACTCAGGCAACGCGATGCAAAAGACTGCTGACGTACCAACTGTACAACTGCGGGGTCGCTCTGGTTGAGACATGGCTCATCAAGCTCGACCAGACCCAGTCCGTTCAACTGAGTCCATCACAGTAACTCACGCTATTCAGCGGGCAATACCTTTGACATCACGTCCGCCACACTCACGATGGTCTTGTCTGCACTCATGCACTCTTTGAGGCCTGTGCTTGGAGGAGGGATCTTAAGAGCTGCGTCCACCTTGATAGCAATAATTGGACCACCCATTTGGACAGAATGTGCATCGAACCTCCCCAACGGCTGGGATGAGTTCGGGTATGAACGGCTTCAGTGGCGTCTCCAGCTCGACAGTGTGAGGATGGTACCGACTGATATATCCAAAAAGATCCTTGATCTCCTCTGATACGCTCAGATGAGCGAAATCTTCTGCCTGATACCTGCCGACGGCATTTAGCTCCCCCACGGTAAGCACGCTCTCAAACCCTCGAGTAGTAGGAAGTTCCACATTAGCTCGAATGAGCTTATGAACTGCAAAATCCTGCGTTTGAGACACTCCAGCTATTGGGGATGAAACAGCCGCCGATGGTACGGATGGGGACCTGAATTGGATCCTCTGTCGAGATACCGAGCTATAAGGGTATGCTCTCGAGGACTCCCCCGAAGGATATAGCCTAGGACTGAGACGGCTTAGGCCGTGAGATTTCGTTGCAAAGAATGTTACCCAGAAGATGATGCTGCAGAGCTCCCATCGCTGCTCCTATTGTGCTCCATGATGGGCACAGCCAGATGTCTGTGCTGGGCGGCTCCATGTGGCCTTGAACCCTAAGACATGCGAACCCACCAGTCTAGGCTTGGGTCGACTACAAACATAACGGTAAGCGTTTCACGAGAACAACAGGGGTCATGATAGGGCGAAACACCTCTGGGTAAAAACTCAAGTAGAGACACCGCACGCCCCACTCGTGCAGAATCCGATGCAAAAGACTGTGGCGAGGAGTTGATCGATCCGAGTTCCGTAAGTCCAGAGGAGCCATCGACATGGAAACGGTGCGAAGACCGGTCGTATGCCTCGAGGCCGCCACGACCACTATGAGGGGTGGACACACTGTCTTCACCGTCTGAGAGGCAGCACGTAAGCAGCTCCTCCCGGTCTAGGCTGCGCCTTGTACCATTGCGGAGAGGCTGGGTTCTGCTCTCCTGGAGGGTAGTCGGACCCTCCTCATCGGAGTTGATCTCCTCTTCCTCATCATCTATCGGGTCGTCTCCCTTCAGTACATCGAAGACCTCATCATAAGGTCTGTTGTGTATGACCCGAGGGTTGCTTGGTGAGAATCCTAACACAGACTGTATCCTGCCTAGCACGGCCGCGGCTACACACACTCGATTCAAAATCACTCTCGTCTGACTGTGGCTCTTCGAAGTAACCCGTAGCCGCCATAAGGAGATGAGAAATATTCTATGACATCAGTGTCGTCGCGTCACACTTCTCAGAAACTCCGGATTCATGCTCTAACTAGCTAGTCTAGTCATGCTGATTCAGCTGATAATGATCTGACTCGTTGATGATGCTGCTGTCAGCTGACAGCGGTTCTTTGTTCCCAGTGCTCTCTGAAGTACAGCCAAGGTCCCAAAGATTGCTGCGAAATCCTCTGAGCTCGAACGCATAGTCTCGTCAACACAACAAGACAACTTGTCGTCAACAAGACTATTTCAACTTACTCAAGAACAAAGTCGTTACTCGCAATCAGCATCCTCGGAAGAGGTTGAAGCCTGATGCGCGGGTCTAAGACCTATTCACGTCAAGAATAGGCTAGATGGTCCATTAGTTAACGATAAGGGTACTGACTCCCCTCCAATGGGCTTTGCTTGCGATGCCAATCCAGCCTCCGTGAAAAGGAACATCTGGACGCTTTCTGGTGCGACTGAGGACTCAAATGAACCACAGTGCACCCGACCCACATCCGTATGCGCGAATAGGTTGCGTATCCTGAACCTGCAAAGCGGATGGGGACAAGCGAAGGCTCACACCAATCGACCTGGTATGTAAATTCCAGCCCGGAATTTTCGAAGGATCAACCTTAAGAATGGTGTCCACAGTGAGGAAGTTTTGCAGCACAACCGCCCATCTAGCCTTGCATCCATTCGGTGAGAGTTCCTTGATCCACACGCGGACTTGGGAAGTATTAGTATAGATAGGATACCCCTGCAATGAAATGGTAGACAAACATTAACCAGGCACTGTGCATTGAGAGCTGCACTACGAAGAGACAGTCAACCCACAGATCGTTACCATCTTCCCCAGAGGATCTTGGCTGACTGCAATGATCTCCTTGTTCTGCAAGATTTCCTTCGTCCCTGGCGGCATGTTATACAAATCATTGCTCATCAACCTACATGAACATACTCTCGATCAACAATGTCACCGCGGACCATACAGTGGACTAGAGAATATAGACCAGAGAGCCATTTGAGCTTGGTATCTAGGGATGCTATCATCGGACATTCCCACGAGAATCCTGAGGCAGAGTGAGACTTGCAGCCGTAGTATAAGGTCAAGTACATACATGTCAGCATCGTTGAAGTGACCGGGGCCGCTGGCACGTACCTATGAAATGTGATCATTCATCCCACTGAGATTATCTCACCATGAAGGAATCAGGGCCTGATGTGGCGAAGATATCTACTGTGCGTCGCAGTGAGCCCCAATTGTCCTTGATATCATCAAACATGCGCCAATAATTGCAATTAGGCGCGAGGACCGTGAGCAGCTTACTGCTATTAACAAGATGACCAGGTGTAAAGAGGGGTGCGCTACGAACAGAATATCCGTGTATGGAACGTCAATGAAATATGTCGACCACCTGCATTCATATAGCATAGGGCGGCCAGTCTTATTCAGGGCTCTTCCGAAAGCTGGATATGTCACATCGAAGGTCTGCGGAAGCGAGAAATCAGAGCAAAGTTGACCAGCGGATCAGTCGTCAACTCACCTTATAGTCGGCGTAGCAACCATCGACTTTAATAGAGTCAACACCCCATTCAGCGAACGTCTGTGCATCGATATCGAAGTGACCCTCGCTGCCAGGGTACTGGGCGCATGTCATTGTACCGATGTCCTGAATACCTGGGAGTCGTGGTATTTCCGACCAAGTCCGCTGCTTACAGTATACAAGCCGAACTTGAGGCCTTTCGAATGGACGTAATCCGCCAAGCCCTTGATACCGCTCGGGAATCTGTCAGGATCAGGCACCATTCTACCATCAGGTCCACGATGTTTCAAGGCCCAACAATCATCAACATTCACATACTCATATCCCACATCCCTGAGGGAGATGCCCAATAGCCAACTTATATCCATCAATAGCCGTGACTCCCATCTTACTTGTATCCAAACTCGACCAACGCATCGGCCATACGCTTATAAAGATCCTCATTGACAAAGCATCCATATCTCTCCCAACTTAGCCAACCCATGGGTGGTGTCAGGCCTAAACCGTTGTCGAGTCCCGCAACACACGGTATGGACCATACTAGTAACGTTCGAACGTAACCGCAGGAGCCAAAAGTCATGGAAGAACCTTCACAGAGAAGGCTAAGAGATTTATCTCCCAGTGGTTGCAAAGCCCAGGCCCTCACTTGCCACTACGTGCAACACTCCATGACACTTAACGATACACAGGCCGCGGGATGAAAGACTCGAGTACAATAAGGAAGATAGATGCCAAAGTTGATGTGGCAATGACGTCGCTTATCTCACGCGATTCTGTTCTCCTCATAGACTCACCAATACCACATCACAACTCTTCCTTGACACCGACATAATCAGGAAAACGTTGCAGCTCAAATCCGAATGGGCCTAGCCATGTTTTCTCAGACAGTTTGTCTCTCAAGCAAGAACAAGCATCGGGTGAAACTCGAGAGGACTATAACAACGACAATCATAGGCCTCGGCAATGAGAGTTGGACATTCAACTATCACTATGTAGTAGATCGGACTAACACGAGCATCTACTCCAACTGAACGAGCACGCATCCACTTTCAGCAGGGGCCAGGTGACGAACAAGCTCCCTTATAGGGCCCAGTCTACTCTCAAGGACAATCTCCCTCGACGGACGATTCTCTCATCACGACAGTGGCATCTATCTTCAATCCACATCGTAGGTATGGCATATCTGCCCCAAGCGGAAGCACCCTGGTCAACAGTGGAACTGACTTGTCCTGAAGAATGAATCCTCATTCCGTCACATCGCTCGTGTCGACGGAGTTCATCTTTCTCCCGCGTGCGGCTACGACATCCCGTACAGAGGCGTATCTTGGCATAGCTGCCCCACACACTGTTTACACGTGGAAATACCTTGGCATAGCTGCCCCACTAAAAAGTTGATCTCAACAAGGCTAAATATGCCTCGGAAGACAGCATGAGTGGTTAGTCACAAACAACAGATAACAACAGCCTCTTCGAGAAAGTGGACAGTCCACTGTTGCCTCTATGGATCCTTTAGGGCTACAACAAGATAACAAGTCTTGATGGGACTGGTCGAACTCGGGTTACAACAGGGACTTGCATCATTCATTGGGCATTGAAAACTCAACTCAACACGAGCCCACAGAAGGAAGTATTCTCAATAAACTACCCCTCCACAAGGCAGACGTTCACCTTCTACATCATCCCTGCATTATCGGTATAATCGAGTAACACCACGAACACCTACTCGGCAAGACGACGATAAGCATAATGATCGTAGGGTTCAAGTCACAACATCATCATACGCTCTATCCCAAACCCATTCCGGATGAGCAATAATTAGACAGCAAAAGTACAACAGCGCAATATAACCGCTAACGGTACTATCAACCTAACAATAGTAGAGTCAGACATACGAGATGCCCCTCAATACAGATCGTCGTGTCGATAGTACAATGAGATTGGCGGAGACTGTGTAGATGTATTAAACTCACTCATTGTAGCCATTTCTCGACACACAAATGAGGGGAATAAACCATGATGATTGCAGTCGATGCGTAGAGGCAGTTGATGACCACCGGGCCAATCTCCGACTTCGTCCCACCCGGACGCTAAGTAAAGATATTTGTCGAGTCGGCCAGGGGCAGCATGACTCAACGTAGTTAGATCAGCAAAGTCAATAACGACTACTCTCCTATCGGTGAATGTTAGGTAGCAGTAGATAGGAGAGATAAAGAGGAAAATGTCCATCCACCCGTGAACAGTACCGGGATATAACCATGCATCCAGACACTACTGTATTCACAGATCAGATGGACGACAATGCGCCCGAATGAAAAAGAAAGCTACTCCCGCACCGTCGTTTGGCGGCATACGTCCGACGAGAGTGATCGATCGGAACACGCCTACTCAAGAATCAGAGAAGAAGTATATTGATATAATACACGAATAACAAGATCCAACATCTTTATCTTCATAATCACCGTCGAGAGAAACCACAGCACATGTCCTTTACATCAGGTAAAGAACTGGCACTGGTAAGGCCGCCGTAGTGCATTGGCAACTGACAAATATAAGAAGAAGTGGGATGGCTTATACATAGGATTAGTTGGCATCGGATGACGAAGCAGTAGAGAATCCCGACGACGAGGCTGCACTTTGACTGGACGACCAAAGCTTTCGTGCTTCTGCCAAGGACATCTGATAATACAATGAAAGTGATAGAAGCAGACCCGATGTTCATAGACCTTACCACCGCGCCTTCGCCATCAGCTCCTCCACGGAATCGACCGATGTTGTCGACTATGCAGCCAGCCACGCCCATATGCCGCATTTGCATCTCAACACGAGACGTCTTATTGTTCTCAGGACCATACGTATACCTAACACTACGCATGTCCAACACTACCAGAATTGCATATTACAATGTCAGTCCAGCCCTTCGGCAGTAGTCAGCGAATTGATAGTGCTCATGCAACCATGACGCCTCAAGGCACAGCCCTTCAATGCCGTTCCGTGAACAGAACTCAGCTGCTGCCAAGGGATCCCTCTGCCATAATAGGAACAATACGACCAAGTGAATGATAACCATAGTACATTGCGGAGGTCCGTGAAGTCGACCTCGGTGTTATCATGAACATCCTCATACCCGAACCACGTATTGAGAATGATAGGGAACCGTGCCTGCTTCTGTCGTAGTGCGAGGCACATCTCGGGATCAAATGAGGAGAACATATACCTAAGCGAAACATGCCCAAATCCTTCACACACTGCCACGCTACCTCCGAGTCGCGGGACAACCATAGTCGTATATATAACGCAGGATGACGTCAGCAACAGTACCGCGGTCGTGGCACGACCGTGATGGATACTTTCGAATAGCAGCTGCAGTTGGATACCTACAATACAAAAGACAACAGTTGACAAACTCCACCACCACCACCACCACGCCGCCGACCTACTATTACTTGATCTCAATCAATGCTCCCAGATCGTCAGGTGTACCCTCTAACACGGCCTTCAGACTGGGCAGTTTCTCCTGCACTGCAGCACTATCTCGAACACCCTCGGCCTCAAGTGGCGATACTTCCGATTCAACACGACCTCTAGAGGGGAATGTTGCCGCTAGGTCATGGAGACTGCGCACCTGAGGAAGATCAAATGCAGTACTGTTATAGCAAACACCAGTGTTGGAAAATGTGTGCATGTGTTGGCGACAGTATGAAAATTTTGAGGGAACTTTGAGAAATTCTCTTGGGTTTCCGCACACTTCTACCCGAATTCGCACGTAAAATGCCTATAACTATAAAAAAACTTTTGAGCTCAGCTGTAAAATAAGAACGTATATGTCGCTACTGACAAACACGAAGAGGCTAGGCTCACCCGTTTGCCTGCTTCCAATAGGCCACCCTTTCCAGACGAGGAGGTAGGCGTGGAGGACCCGCTGCAAAAGCTGCCGTTGGAGGACCCGCTTCCCCCACCAGAGACGCTCGACTCCACTCGTTCCCGACCCGTGAATATCCTCTCTTGATTGTCCTCATCCAGCGAGCATAGACCCTCCTCGCACAGAGACGTGATAGGAATCTTCTTGCTGCTATTGGAATGATTGATCTCCAAATCATGGAAAATCATGGGGGTCCGATCGGCCGTGAGGAAGACGTCAAATTCGACCTGAAAAAGGACGTAACGTTAGTCAATGATAAGAGCATATTCCTACCGCATCAGCACCGTACTTAGCTGCCTGCTTGAATGCCAACAGCGTATTCTCTCTTATCCGCGAGCCCATCTCGTCACTACCAATACCTCGATGACCGATAATGGTCATCTCATGTACGTTCTTCCCTGTGGCGGTGCCTGAGGCATGCTTACTACCATGCAAGGTCAACGGTCCCTCCTATTACGCGCTCGCAGAGTCGATCCCTGCCGAGGTTCGGTACGGGGAGAGAAGGCTGACCTCAACGCTGCTGGTAGCGGCGTCACATTCACAAAACGGAATGTGACGGTACCCACGTTCCGGTACTTGTCGTTGACCAACGAGCGGACCTACAGAGGGGATCGTAAATGGCTACTATAGAAGGATGCAGACAACTCACCGTGAGATTAGAGGCGCAACAAAGCTGAAACTCTTGCAGCTCATCGACGCTTATGACGGTATCTGATACCAAATCCACATCCGAAGTGATGCCTCGAGCAATAGGCCACTGCCGAATAAAGTTCGATTCAAATTCCGCTGAATGAGTAGTCGATAGGAGAGTTACAATCAGAAGAGGCTTATATCCCCATTTCAGTGTCACCACTCTCTGCATCATTACATCCCACGACTTCTCGTGCGCCTTGGCCGTCAGTCGAAACTGCCTCCAATACAGCACTGTCGTTGAATTGGAAATGCAAAAAGCGATGCTTATCATCGCCGTCTCGCAGCTCGGCGATGGACTCAGCGTGATCCGTATTACGAGAAGTTACACGGAGTGAGAACCTGATGGCAAAACCGGACGTGTATAACAGCAAACATCTCTACTCACAAAGCCATCGCGAGTACAACGATACTATTCGAACTGATTAGAAAATGGACCAACTCTGGAATGTTGTCTCAACGAGATTACAGCGCACCCAATGGCAAACACGATAAACTACGCCAGTAGTGCCAGACTGACTCGCGTTACCTGCTATGGTCACCGCCATCGGAAGTAATCCTAAGTGAGTATTGAGGGGCCTCCAGGTAAACAAAGGAGGTCGTAGCTTTTTGTATGACATCATCCTGTTGGGTGGTAGCCAACTCGGGGGGCATCTGTCTGTCGCCAACTCGAATACTTTGGATTAGCTCACTACAACCAACAGTGTCATCATCATTACTGTCCACACCAGCGACTTGAGTACTAACTGCCATTTCTGAAATAAGTAGAAACGAAGAATATGAAGGATCTGATAGAACAGCATCATGAGGTCAGTGATAGACATACTAGCATGAACCTATATTGAGATTCACTGTAACCGAATAGGTGATGCCCCAACACAACCTTAGTCGTAGAGAGAGCAGCAACACCATGGTACACTGAATGACACGTCAATGGATGCTTGAATGGTACACATCGTACAAGGCTTGCTAGGACTGCAGCGCACTTTGTGAATGGCATCCAATGAGCGGAGCGAAGCGATGCACGTTGTCACGTTTTCTCTCTTGGCTTTCCCAAAACTCGAGGGGTGGACCGAACCTACTATAATGAGTTAGCAATCATCCTCATCAGAACGCATATGTGAGTATTGAAGCACGCGTTGTCCACTCTCTCGAGACACCATTTTGGAGACAGAACTTATCGACGGTGACACCAGTGGTGACGCCCCCATCAGGCCTTCAGCACGAGCTATAGCAGCAGTTTAGCTCAAGCCTACCCTGGACATAGTCGTCGGTGGTCTGTTGGGTTCCTCACGATCTATTGCGGCTTGAGCCTTCTCCCTCCTGAGGGATGACCGTCTGCCAGTAGGTGACAGATGATAGCACATGACTCGACTCATAACGTGGCGGCATAATAATACGAAGCATGGGAGTGAATACAACAACGTGTGTAGACCACGTGGTAGCTGGCTTCGGCCCACCTTTCAGCGGCGGCAAGTTGGAGCCTTTGAACGACACGTTTATGAGCAAGCAAACCACCATAGATGGCATCGCGGTAGTCATGAACTGTCATGAGGAGATTGTCATCCAAACACATTGCTTCACCCGGAGAATCACTCTTTCTATCAATGTACCTTATTTGAATCATTCATGCAACTTATACGAGGGAGAATCTCCTACGCAAATTCTTCATCAGGGCTGTGGAATGCTGCCACGTAGGGATGCTCGAGGGCCTCTTCCGCGGTGATTCGGAAGTCCGGGTTGAACTACAGCCACTTAATCAATCACAAGTAGAGTGTGCATACTTGTAGCATAGTCTCGATGAGGTCTAAACTCTCGACATTGCCTTGAGGGACTATTGACGGTACATGGACCGTACTGTGCTGTTGAGGGATGCCTTGAAGCAGCTGCTCTCCATACACCGTGTTAATATCTTATCACAGTCATCGATGACCGAAGACTTCACTCCTACTGCTCAATATCGTCATCGAGGGCAGTCCAGTGAACTCAAGTATCATCCATAGCTGCTCTAGTACAGACGTGCCTATCTCGACAGTCGTGTCTAAGGATGAGAATCTCCTACCGGGGAAGAGAGGGCGACCAGTCAGGACCTCGGCTACGACACAACCGCATGCCCAGATGTCAACACCCTTGCTATAACTAAGCATCAAGATTCAAAGCATTGCAGGGAGAACCCAGCCGCTACTTGGTGGCCTTAAGGAGTTGCTCGGGTGCTCTGTACCATCTACTGGATACATAATCGGTCATGTGAAGATAGTCCCCTTCCTCGGACATCAACATCACATGCTCCACTGACATACCTACGACCATCGAATAATCCCACCACTACCACGGCGACTACAGCTCAGTGTTGGGATATATGTTCGCTTTCTTCACCTGAGCTCGGGAGTTTCCTCAAATGTAGAAGTTTAATCGTAAATTCGGATGGAAGTGTACAGGAACGAAGAATTTCCCGGATTTTTTTCTCAGAATTTTCGTATTGTAATCAACACACGGAGTTGACCATGTGCCTTTCCCCACACTGCTCCAGTTCCGAGGACATCACACCCTTATAACTCATCGTTCGATGTGGTTCCCGAATCACAACATCACAACCCCCGTGAGAGGCTCACCTCTAGGTAACGGATGCAAAGCCGGGTCAAAGCTCAGAGGAAGCACGTGTCGAGCCAGGCCGAAATCGCATATTCTCAGCTCACCTAGACGACTCATGAATCAATGTAGTGCACAAGAGCAACTCACAATTAGCATTAATAAGGATGTTTTGTGGTTTTATATCGCGATGCACCACGTTCGCAGAGTGGACGTATTTAATTGCCCGCAATAGTTGCCACACCACATAGGCCTTATGGAGAGGGGACAAGCTTCCTGTTCAGCAGCAACAAAGTGGATGGAGTGAATGCAAGACTACCAGCCTTGATGGTTGAGGCAAGGTCAGTGTCTACATACTCAGTGACGAGGTAAATATCTTTGTCCATAGTAGAGGGACTCGTTATGACCTACGGCCTATCACATCAACACCGCACTAATAATCAAGTTGGAAGTCTACGTACGTCCAACAGGGTCACGATGTTTGGATGCCCACTCAGCTTGGCCAGGATGCTAACCTCCCGATATGTTCTCTGGGCATCCTGAACGAATTTCCGGGCAGTTGAGGAAGTTACGGTATCGATTCCACCAATCGGTCAATTATAGTCACTAAAGCTTTAGTCCCACCAATCAGTTTCGATATCAATTTCTACGTTGGCAACACTTTCTTGGTACTTCTGAACTACCAAAAAAGTTTCCACTCCAAAGTAGAATTTGAGTTCAAGTCAGTTTTTGAACCACTAGTTCGAAAAGTGAGTTCATTGATCACAATTTGTGACCGACCAACTCTCCAGAATGCGATGTGTGTGATTCCTACAATATTTGACTGGAAAGCGTTGAGTATCCGTTTCACCGCGACTGATCTTGTCTTGGGTACTGATTTTCCCTCAGTAGAAAGACTGTATTGGACACCCGATTTCGTCCTACAGTGCCATACTATTCCGTATAGGCCTCGGCCCAGCTTTCGGACTATATCGTATCTGACTACACTCCTAGCAGCTGTGCGCAACACTTGCACCGACTTGGCGCGTATACGATAGTCTATGTACTCCGGATTGATCGATGTCATGTCCCTCTCCACCCTACCTAAGGGAGCGCATCTACGTGAACAACACAACTCTGTAATACTGTGATGAGTCTACCAGCAACATGAACATGGCATAACACTCACGATACGCCAACAGCACGAGGATCTGTCACGTACCTGCATAGCACTCGAGCTCAGCAGTACAAGCTGGGACGCACTTCACGTCCATTCACGTAGCATTGGCAAGGTCACAGACAAACATCCTCGCAGTTTATCCCACCTGAGCGACTGGAGATGGTGACAACACAGTATTCTACTCACTTAGCATTGCCCTTCTCCTCATCCACCGCATACGGCAACGGCAAAGACAGCCTATACCTACATCACGATGGAGGTGCCGAAGAGGAAACGCCCTAATACTTTGGTGCTTGTAACATGATCCGCTCTTTCAGTACGTCCAAAGAAATGTCCTTCAACTGAGTGTTGGGGAGGTAGATCCTAAGACCAAGTGGTCTCGACTACCACTCAGGCCTCCCCCACTTCACAGTGATATCAGTACACCTGTCCGAGCTAGGGTCAGTGTCCTGTAAATTGAGGAACATATCGTTGGCAGATACCTCCTGCCTATACAACACCTCATATCTGAGTCACACTGGGATAGGCCAACCCCGACTACGTGCCAACCCACTCCGGTGCTGGACGAGGGTCTTCTTTGGTATCTCCATTAGAAACTGTCTCCGGGATAGCAATGCCTGGCAGAGACCATCGCTGGAAGTTCAATGTTTCTCCCTACCCGAGTGTTTCTTGAAGTCATCCCCATCCCATATCGCATCCTGTTTGGCCTTGGCCTCCTCCTCCTTGGCCTGCTGCTCCCTCCTTACTTGAGCTGCACCCTTTATGCTTACCTGACCGCAGCATCGCCCATCGCTACCATAGCCTGAAGCCACACCTTCTGATTCGGCGCGGCGTTACTCGGCCCCACAGTCCTCCTATCCCCACCATCCTCCGCTGTCTCGAACAACTGCATCATACCTCTGACCTCATCCGGGGAGAAGGCAGTGCCGGACATTTTCACCTTGCTAAAGTCCCCACTAGCAATAACAATGACAACGCAACAGGTTACTGTGAATGAATCGAGTACAATGTACTCTATGATGCGTGCATGTAGATTGATTACACTGCATTTGATCAGCGATATACGAGATTCAGCAAGGGGACGGAAGTCCTATATATAACAGGCCCCCATCAACCACGGCTACTCAATCTCAGGTCTCTGCCCATTAGGGCAGGGGACAGTGCCGTCCACCTCGGCCCCGATACAGGGCTCGCCCATCCCTGCCCCATGGGACTACCCTGGATAGACATAAAGCTAGGGGATCTACTACGGGGATCAGCGCAGCCACTTTCCCCTAGTAGGGGTGTCTGTCCGACACCCGAAGGGACGCGGTAGTGGACAGTCCTGCCTGGAGGATGCTGTACATGGCCAGACCACTGGTGTGAAGATGATGGTGGCCACCGAGGCGAGGGGGATCCAGCACGAGCCTAAGGACAGCTGCGGACCATGATGCCCAGTCGGCTTTTACGTTCATGTCGTCGAGCACAGTCGTCCATTTGGGTATCGAGGAGCATGGCACTCGCTGTAGTGGTGGAGAGGGACTCCGAGAAAGATGAGTGTGATACGCCCCATAACAATCGCCTAAGGTGGAGGGCTATTGCGAGGATACACGAACCGCCTTACATCTCCGAGTCGAGGAGATCGAGGCGAGAGAAGAGAGAGATCTGTACAGGGGAGGGTTCACAGCTGAAGACCAGGATGACTGTGGCCACCAGCTGCAAAGGTGACCTACGGCTTCTATACCCAACGACTTTCGTCTTCACAATATCATCATCCTCTCTAGGACATCTGGGCGCTTCCCGGGAGGCGGACCAATGAGCCATATGGGATCCCTGTTATGGAGCGTCGACACACGAGGTCCCACGCGCCCTACGCTCTTCTGAGCCGCTTTAGACGGCTGATCCACGGACCTGTGTAAGGCAATTTTCGATACGCGGACAACCTCATGCATCACACCTCCGCGATGATCCAACACTCGCCCTATGGCACGTGCCACTCGAGTCGAGGCGGGAGTCACATAAAATTGTTCTCCGGGATTCTGTGGTGGTTGAAGTAGTAGAAATTGTGCTCTCGCGGACCGCCTCAGCCGTGACCTCCACTGCAGTGTGATCATCGCTAGGAGCACTGCTACTGACCAACACTGCAGTTGCTGCTGCCTGCCGGGCATACGTCTGATCACAGTCGTTGTGGGCGCGCGATAGACTACGATGAAACACCCCTTCCACTGAGGAGGACGAATGCTGTCGCCAGTGTTGGGATGAATGTTCGCTTTCCTCGGCTGATGTCAGGAGTCTCCTAACTACAAGTTAGGAAACTACACGGCCGCCGAAGGCGGCCGTGTATTGGGCTGACAGACGACCGGCCCATGAGACCTCAGTGAGGGCGAGAAGGTATGCAGCTGAATCATCGGGGCCGACCCGATCATCGGACACAACAGAATTCACTATAAAAAGGATTCAGCAAGATGCCCTCACAAAACATAACTCTATCTGGCAACTACGACACCGAGTCATGATGCTCAATGAGTCTTATCAGATCCCTCCAGTAAGGCGCTAAGTCCGTCAAGACCTCTTCGACACTCCATCCCTCAGTGGCAAGTCGCTCCCCGTACCTGCTAGGGTCCTACTGCGGTTGCACTATCATACAACTGCCTACTTCAAGACCAATGGGCTTATCCTACCCAATACGGTGGGGCTAGGGCCTACGCTCCGCCTTAGGTACTCGCGTGTGATAGTAGCCAACTCTAGCGGGGTGAACCAATTCTTGGAGGTGGCCTCGACCTGCAGAGTAATGAGTACTGCCCAAATGTGACTCTACCTCACAGCCATTGTGACAGCAGGTAGGGCTAAGGCAACCTTCCAGTCAGGCATGCCCATAGTAACCTCACCGTAGCCGTCCTCGAGAGGGTCACCAGGGAAGGGCCAAAGCACATCGAATTCGCTGAGAGGCTGAGGGAGCAGGGATGATAGATCCCAAACGTGAACAAGGCTACTATGGCAGGCCCAGCTTCCATCGGTAGCAACGAGGCTTCAGCGCCGTGGGTGTCAAAGAGAAGTGAATATGCAATGTTCTCCTCTCCAAAACCACGCACCTACAAAGGGACAATACACACAACAGGACAGACTGCTCCTACATAGTGAAGGGCGTGGTGCTTCGGAATGAAGAGACACTCACCAGGCTGGAGGGTCGTATTGGACCATCGGGCTTTGACAAACTCGGGCCATCTGAACCACGCTGCTGTAGCGAACGATGCAAACATGATGACAAGGCGGGTCATCGTACTTTCCAATATCAACTCTCTCACCGTGAACAGGACTGTCATCTGAGCCCACCACCTCCACAGGGGAATGATAGTGCCTACCAATAACCCATGAGGGCGGTGATGCATGCAATAAAGCGGAACCATGCAAGCACTCTCACGTCGCTACTATCACTACACTGCACTGAGCAGACTACAATCCCTCATCCCACCGTGTGTAAACCTGGGCAGAATAGCCCCACCATAGCGTTCTACAGACCCCGAGTCGACCAGAGCCGAGGTGATAAAAGAATAGGATATTCACCATTACTAATACAACAATACTCACCCCGACCACATAGGTATCTTATCTCTCTCCCTCCGCATTTCCCACACTATCCACTGCCGGCTCCCCGACACCTGAGGCCACGACCAGCACAGCTACGGCGGGGTTCTTCGTAGAGCCTAACCTGGCACATCACTTGGTCATTCATATCATAGTGGATTGCAGAGGAGGTAAAGGAGGACGGTGGGCTAGAACTAACCCACAGTCCCAACTCGGTCAGGAGGGTCCTCCGGTTGGCCCTGGCATGGTGTAGGGCCGGGCACTGACAGCCACCTCATCTACCCTTCTAATGGATCCCGATACCCTCCAGCAACGAACGATGGCGCGAACAGATCCGTAACGAGGTTAGCAGGAATCTTGCAAAAATAAATATGGGGATAATCAAATCCACTCTGGGATGACTCTAGCAGAGAGATGAGGACGGGTGGGGTACGTCATCACCCCACTTGGGAGATTATATATACATCTCCACCGCTCCTCATCTCGTCGATCGCCTCAGCCACTGTAGACATGCCCGAGGTGGACCTCATCATCATCTAAGGTACACAAGGGCGTCACTTACCCACCATCCGGGAGGCACTACTTCAGCAGTGCACGACACTCCCTCTCGGTCACAATAGTCAGTCAATCTATCCTCATTCCTAACCTCCGTTCGGATCACCTCTGAGCCGTACTGTTCTCTCAAGTATCTTCGGCAGAAGACTGTGACCACAACCCAGTGTTGCAATATAAGTTCGCTTTCCTCAGCTGAGCTCAGAAGGTTCCTCATTTATCATAGGAGTTCATATACGAACTCGGTTAAAAGTGTACAGAAACCAGCAATAATTTCCCAAAATTTTCTCAGAATTTTCATATTGCCGCCACACGTGTAAATGACCATGTGCGAAACTCACCACACCAGCACGTCTCACTCGAACGTCAACGGTGACGAGAGGAGCTCCGGCATAGAGACTTTAACAGGAGTTCCTCCAGGCTGAACCTCGATCCAGAACTCATGCGACGACAGCTTTTCCAGTGAAGATACTTCCCCTACCATCAATGTCAGTCGCCCGCGGCCAGCACTGCTACCCTACCCGTCCAGGACTGATCAAAGATGGCATGTCCAAGTGGGTACCATCCCGTCAAGGGTCGCTGCCCTCCATCCTCACAGACCTCATCAGAGGGCCCGTCATCGAGTGTGACTTGAGCCGTCGAGACTGCTAGACATAGTAACCATAACATGTCTACATACCGTGCCCCCTCCCAAACCCTCCTAAGGTTAACTCGTTGATACTTCCAGAAACATGGCACATCATGAGGCCTTCTCTCCCGGGTCGCCATCCCTCTCTTGCTGCTCGATCCACCGCTGGCGGGCACTCCTACCGTCCTTCATCTTGGGGTCCTGCCTGGCCCTCCTGTTCCGAGGGTCACGCTGGGCCTCCTCCTTGGCCCTCTGCTGATTCCACATCTCGTCACTCGCTGCAAATGCAATCTTCGGTATCTTAAACGTCGCCGCTTGCTCTGGAGTACATGGCCAGATGAGAACGTTAACCTGAGGACCTTCCACCATGCCCATCACAGCCCCCCCCCCTCAGCCCTCACAGATGGTTGCTCGAAAGCCTGTGCCGGGAGTGGTAGATTCACAGGCTTGGCAATATCCTTCAGCTCAGCAATAACACGCACTACAAAGGAAACGCTTCCTGTCCTACTAAGCACGAGTGGATATTCCTACCAACCATTTGCCTCATTTCTTCCTCTTCAGCTTTCCCCTTCATAATCACGGCTTCAGTTCGATGCTTCTTCAGAAGGAGCTCTCGATGGTGGAGGATCTTGAGAGTACAGATCACCCGCTAGAGACCCATAGGGCCGCCTCACGTATCTCTGGAAGTCAGGGAGGGCTATCCTGCAGTTATACCGCATATACTTTATCTTCAACGATGGGTCAAAGCTGTAGAGGTCAGTCTGTTGCTTCTCCTTCAGAACTTCCTTCTGTCTAAGAAAACAGAGGAGCCCTTTGATGATAATCACACCATCACAGAGGCTCACTTGAGCTTGTCAACAATCTGCGCTTCCAAGTCACTCTTCCTCGCAATTCGGCATACAGGGGGCTGCTTATTGGCATTCACTAACACCTATGTAGCGGTTCAACACAAGACCACGGCCATCCTTACCGTACCAAATCCAAAGATGCTGCCTTCGCCTGAGCCTTGGCTTCCTCTAGGTCCATCACCCCTATCGCGCTCCCATCCCTGCCTATCACATGGACCTACTACCAGAACTGGATCCTATATAAACAGCCGAGCCCTCACTTTAGGGAAGAGAATGTCATCGTTGGCTAGAAGACCCTTAAAGCCCGACTCTGCCGTTACGAAAAGTCTACGGCTAAAGCAGAGCCTTCGTGAAGAAGGTTGTATGAATGTGTTTATCAGTCGTCCATTTAGCATTGCTTAGAAGCACGGCGTGATAACGTTGCAAGATATCCTATTGACGTACTGAATAACGCAATAGCCCTCATCAAAGGGCAAACATGATTCCCCCCCACGTTGTCTCCGGGCGGCAGGCCTCGGAGTGTAAGTAATATCAAAAGGATAATAGTGTCAGATCTTCCCTCTGGACGAGGGATAACATTAGTCCTTATACCACTTCTTGGCGTGAGCAGCGAAGGCCTCGGGGCTGACCGCCTCGACCACAATGGGCATGAATCTGAGTCGTCTTGTGGACAATGGTAGTGATAACTGACCATGACTTACGCATGGAGGGTTCCACAGAGTTCCGAGCACTGACCGTAGAACACGCCTTCACGCTGGATGAAGGTGTTGATCTGAAGGAGGCTTATGGACGATTAGAAGGGATAGATGCTTACCTTCACCAAGCGCCCGGGTGTAGCATCACATTTGATGCCCAGTGATGGCACTGACCAGGAATGGATAACATCAGCACCTGTGATCTG